TGTCTTTTAAGGAAGGGATTGAAGTGATCCGTTGACAAATTGAGGGATGGTGAAAGGAGTAATTAAGAAAATAAGGGACCAAAATTAAAGAATTTTTTAGGCTTTTCTTCATGCTCTAGCCAAAATTTGGCTCCATGATTGAGCCAAAATTAATGCACTTTGACTTAAATAAAAAGGAAAGGCTATTAGGCATGCAAGGTGGAGGGATTTGGTTTAAAGAAAAATTTAAAGCCTAAAATTATCCAATTGGAGGGATAAGCTTTAACCAAAATTCAATTGCCAAGATCACTCTAAAACACCATAATTTCAATGTTTGAGATGGATTAAGAAATATTCAAAAAAAAAAAAAAAAGCCTATAAATAGGCAAGCATGAAAATGGCATAAAAATCACCAAAAAAAAAAAAAAAAACCTAAAGGAAACTCTTGAAAATTTTCCCTAGGAAAATCACACCAAATTCTCACCAAAAACTTACTAAAATCACTCCTACACACCTTAAATCAACCTACTAAGTAAGGATATCAAGCTAAGAACTCAAGAAAAATTCAATGGAGAAAAAAGGTGGTTAGGCCGAATTTTGAGGAAGGAGGAAAGAGAAATTTTTGAATTCTTCACCTTTTGAAGTTTAATTGGAGCATATTTAGGTAAGTTAATCTCCCCTAAACCACGAGAATATTTAATTTCAAGTCAATTTCATGTTTGATTACTTGAATTTGCCTTAATTGCTAAATTAGAGAAAAATTAAGGTTAGGGTTCTTGGTGACCCAAATTTGGAGAAAATTATTTTGGACTCATAATTCATATAATTAAGATGGAAACAAGTTAATTAGGCTTCAAAATTTTGGTGAAAACTCAAAAATTCCTAAGGTTAATTAAGGGTAACCATTCGGCCTAAACTAAAGAAATTTAAGATTGGAATTTCAAGCAATCTTATTCTGTTTTGGTGAGTCATATACACTTAAATAAGCATATTTTGATGAATTGAAGTGAAAAATTCATCAAAAGTTGAAGAAAATGGGTTTTATGGGCTTGGGGCCAATTTCGGCCCATTAAGGCCCAATACGGGTTTGGACAAGATTTCAGATCCCAAATTTCAATTAAATTAATTCCTATAGTTTTTACATATCTATGCTACTTAGTGTTAAAATGGTGGGACAAAATCAGGAGAAAATATTAGGATTCTAAAGAGGTCAAGTTTAGGCCTAAATGGGAATTTTGGGGAATTAGGTTTAAACCAAGTTTTAAACCTTAAATTTGATAATTCAGACTCAAAACACAGTAAAATGATGGTTTAGAATGAAAAGGGCTCATAAAAACTTAAAGAAAAATTAGGTTAGGAAAAATTGGGCCTTAGGCCCATTAAGGCCCAAATCGAAATTGAACCTCCTAAATCAATCAAATAATACCTAGTTTGGTTAGAACATGAAATGATACTTAATTTTGTAAAGACCAAATATGAAAAGATAATTAAGAACTTAAGAAAAAGAATTTAGGAAAGTAAAGTGAAAGGTAAGTTTAATGAATAAAAAAATGGAACAAAAATGTCCATCTTCCTTTATGTTATGGTTATGTTCTTTTAAATGCTATATGAATGCATTAGATTATGAATAATGGTTATGCTTGAATGTGATTGATGATGAGAATTGGGTTATGATGATTGATGTGCCAACGATGGCGGTGTTGGTTTATATTGGATTGATGTTATTTATGTTGTTATGTCGCCTAATTTTATATCGATTCTTATGACTTGGTCACATAACCATTCAAAGTAAGCATTCATGAATTCATATAGCATGTTGGTTCATTGCAATTGCATACGCATGCTTAGCTCATGAATAATTTTTTAAGTCATAGAAATATATTTTATGTTATGGTTATCCGATAGCAATTAGAATGATTTTAAAGGAAAAGATTTTCATGACTTTAAGGTTTTGAGAAAAGGACTTCATAGATTTTTCATACGGTGATAGTAATGGTTCGGGGTCGGGTAAGTGCGGACGTGCACTTTTAGAGGCTCGGTAGGGCGTGTCCGTAGACGAGTCCGGTTCGTCGAACATATATTATGAAAACCCCGAAGCACCTAAATGAGACATATCCACGAGACATAAAAAAAGATTTTTAGATTATTTTCTATTTTATGACATGAGGAAAAAGGAGACTTACTTTGCATAAAGCGGTGTTACATACTTACATAGACATAAGCATGTATTACATGCATCCATTAACTTACCGAGTTATTGCTCATTTAGCTTCTTATGGTCTAGATAAGTAAACCACTATGGCTTACTTCTCCGTGGAGCCGATTATCGAATGAGGCACCTAACTGTGTATCTTGGATGGGGTTTGATTTTTAGATAGACCCACTATATGTTTTTTTTAATTATATTATGAGTTATAGTTTTATATGTACTTGATGTAGCTGACCTATCCTATACAATAGGAAAGGATATGAAACGAGTAAGCGATATGACTCGATAATGGTGTGAAAGCAAATGAACCAATTTTGTAGTAATTGGCATAAAATTAGTCTTATATGTGAATAGCTACGATGTGTAATCGAACCAGTAAAAACAAAATGATACGAGTAGTAATAGTTATGTAATTATTATAAATAAATAGTAACGAATAATTTAGTAAGTGAATTACATTAATGACTACCTAACAAGGTGAATGAATAAAGGTAAGCAATTGAAGGAAACTTAAAAAATTTATACGACTTTTTAATAAAGAAATAGGACCTAAGCATTATTACTAGACGCCCACCGCATAAACATCTTTAAATAAGTTACGATAAGATCATAGTGCCTTATTAACCTACATTCATTGTACTTTGAATATGATTAACGGCAATAATATTCTCGACCTACGAGGTCTTAGGCTAGGGGTTTTACAACTTGTCCCTCTCGGACAAAGTATTCGGGTTCGTAGACCCTTAAATAGGTTTGGTTTCACTCTTCTTTTATCCTTGGCAGCCTACTTTGTCTTATATTCCTATTCCCTCATGTTATAAATTAGTAGTGTAGCATGAGTGTTGGTGCAAAGCCATTGAAACACAACTTCTCGCACTTGAAGAAAACCAAACTTAGGATATTGTTCCATGCCCCCCATCCGTAAAACCAATTGGAAGTAAGTGGATATTTTCCATTAAGCTTCGTTTTGATGGTTCCTTAGATCGTTACAAGGCTTGATTGTTGATTCTTGGCAACAAGCAAGAGTATGGCCTAGACTATGATGAAACATTTGCACCAATAGCCAAGATGACCACCGTAAGAACAATCTTAGCTCTTGCAGCCTCCCAATCTTGGTCCTTACATCAAATGGATGTTAAGAATGCTTTTCTACATAGTGGTCTCAAAGAGGACATTTACATGAAACTTTCATCCGGTATGCCTACTACCTCAACTACTCATGTTTACAAATTAAAAACATTTTTTTATGGTTTAAAACGAGCACCAAAAGCATGATTTGATGAATTTTGAATCACTCGCTTAGTTTTTTGTTCACACAAAGTCGGTATGACTCTCACTTTTCCTACGGAGGACCTTTAATGGAATGGTTGTCCTCCTTGTATATGTGGACAACATCATTGTCACTAGTTCAAATATAGCGAGCACTCTCTATAATTCAAAAGCTGTTACATTCTACTTTCCAAATGAAAGACCTTGGCCAACTCACTTATTTTTTGGGGTTACAAGTGCTTGGTCGACCTCGGGGTCTCTTCTTAAATCGGACTAAGTATGTTCAAGATCCGGTTCGGTTAGTAAGACTCACAAACTCTACTTCGTGGACACTCTTATGAAAATTAATGTCAAATATAGGCATGACGAATGGGAGCACCTCGAGGATCCTACTTTTTATTGTAAGCTAGTTGGTAGTCTTATCTATCTAACCATCACTCGATTGGACATCTCTTATGCTATACAAACTGTCGGCAAGTTCATGCAATAACCTCGACACCTCCACCTAGTCGTTGTCTACCGTATCATTCGATACATCCTTGGCACACCAAGTCATGGCTTATTCATCCCTATTGGTTCTCCATTATAGCTACGAGCCTACTTGTGATGTTGATTGGGCAAGTCGCCCAAACATAAGGAAATCTACTATAGGATAGTGTATGTTTCTTGGTGATGCTTTTAGCCTTTGGAAATGCAAGAAGCAAGATTGTGTCTCCAAGTCATCTAATAAGGCTAAGTACCATGCCATGTCCGTTGCTAGCTCGAAGATCATTTGGCTACATGGTCTCCTTACGAGTTTGGTTTCTCCCGGGTTCAACCTACTCCATTACATACCGATAACACTAGTGCTATTCAAATTGTCGTAAGCCCCGTTTACAACAAGTGCACGAAGCACATAAAGGTTGATTGTCACTTTATTCAAGATGCCTTTGATAGTAAGGTTATCACCCTTCTACATATTTTCACTACTCTACAGACTTACAAATATCTTCACCTAATCCATGACCCTTCAACGCCATCATTTTCTAGGGGGATATCAAATGAAAGTCAACTAGCCATTTAAATCTGTAGATTTTATGCTTGACAAACTGATTCCCTATAATTACAAATCCTTCATTCTTTTCTTAACTTAGGATATACATGCGCGTACATATATATGTTCGTTCGAGTTTCTCGATAGTAAAAGAACTTCTTATATTTAAAGTTCAACTCTTTGCTACCAAGCGGATCGATTCTTTTCTTGATCATATGTGGAGCACTAACATTAAAAAAAAAGAAACGAAAAGAAAAGTTCAGTTTCCATTCGTTCGGATAAAGTCGAGCACATTTACTTGATCCTTTGGCCGTCGCAAGCTATATTCCTTTTTTTTTTTTCCTTTGTGTGGTTGGGTTTCTTTTTGATGTTCATATCTTGGAAGCTGACATATTCATGAATTGAGAAAGACTTCCATCTTTGGTGCTGAATATAAAAGGCTTCGTAAGGATTCATAAATATATCATCTTTTCGTCTCAAAACTAACAATAGAATTTATTTGCTCTCAAGATGTCGTCCTCAAATAAACTACATTACGAGGCAGATCCCGATGAAGTGAAATATGTAAAGGTCAGAATACTATTTATCTTTTCATCAGTATTTGTTTGTAGATTAGGCCTCCTACAGGAAAAGTTAGTTTTTGAAGCATAATATTTTGGCAGTTAACAGTTATATAAAGTGTTAAAACACATATTTGATATTTTATATTTTATATTTAATTAAATCTTTTAGATAGAACTCAATTTTAATTATTTAATTATATATAATATTATAGTTTAAAAAAGATCGTGTGAAACTCAAATCACTTGTCGGACCTCAAAAGATAAGCTCAAATAAGGAAGAATATTAAAAAACATATCTCATATTGAATTTTTAAAATAAAAATGATTAATAAAACATTCAAAAAGGGCCACCCAACCTGTCTTTTTGATGAAAATCAATTTCGATTATCTAACTCTATTCAAGGCAAAATGTATGGAAGACTATCATATCATTTCAAGTTGAAAGTTATCCCTTGATGAGAATTCCTCTTCGTGTTTACGGGAAAAGCACCATCTGGACGTTTAACCCTAGGGGCCTTATTAGAGACTAGTATAAATTATATTCTAGGACCTCACCTATCAGCTTAAGCTTTTAGGTGAGATGGTCCTTTAAGATGGTATCGGAGCTTGGTTGACCTTGAGGTCCCGAGTTCAAGTCTCACCATCCCCAATTTCTCAAATATTAAGCACAAGGCAATATGGATTTGTGCAAGTTTCATGCCCAAAATGTTGGGCCTTTTACTTGAGGGGTGTATTAGAGACTAGTATAAATTATACTCTAGGACCTCACCTATCAGCTTAAGCTTTTAGGTGAGATGGTCCTTTAAGAGGCCTTAGCATCACCTGGGGTAATGACAAAGGCTACTTGGAACTTGCCTGAAGAGAAAAAGTAAAATACATGTTCTCTTAAGAGTTTCTGAAAAAATTTTTGATATTCAGTCTTAGCAGGAAAAGGAACTTAGTTTCATAGCATTTGATACGTCAACTTTGCTAAGCTAACGCAGACATTTACTATACTACTCGAACTTCAATATTGCAGCTCGGACAAACCAGCAGAGCTAGTACAAGTGACTTGGCTTGAAATAACAGGTGAAACAAAGGAACCCCTGCCAGTAGGGAAGTACGAAATTAAATTTGAAGTATCGCTGGAACAAGGTGCATTCGGTTGGAATGGCTGTCCTGTTTTCATGATGGGTAAGATAGGGAAGAAGGGAAGGTACAGATGGACCAAAATCAACCTAGCAGATCTCGGCCCAGATAAGAAATTAGTTACCTCAGACTTTCAGATTGAAGTTTTTGGAGAATCAGAAGATAACAAGCTCTATTTTGGTCTGTATGAAGTGTGGAGTGGGCGATGTAAGGGAGGTTTGCGGATTCACAAGGCCACAGTTCAAATAAACCAGTCTATTGCAATACTGTTTATTTAAGATGTAACATAATAATGAGACCTGTCTTGTATTACCAAGCTCTACCTATTTATGGTGTGTTTTTAAGATTTATGTACCATTGTTCTGCTATCAAATAAATGAATGCTTTCTTTTGTTCTATCTTCAACTAAACTTACTTTAATGATTCCTTTCTAGCTATAAAAAGATAACTCTGTCATGTTTTCATATCAAATAAGCAAAGCCAAAATTTATTGTCATAAAACTGGTTCAGCTTTTTTGAAAGTCTCAAAATACTGCTAATAAATTTGACAAATTCGCCCGAATGCTGGTATATACGGTGTTGGCAGAAGTCTAATTAATCGCATTTAAACTGATAAAGATTTCAATAGGAGTACTTAAAACATGGCAGCAGCTTGATATGTCATTTTAGTCTATGAAACTAGGATTCCATCTTAGTTATAGACCATGATAATTAGTTCAATTGCAGGTCTTGTCAAATGTTGTTGTATTTATCACTCATAAATTAACCATTATAGTCACTTCTACCAAGACAACGGGATCAGAGGAAAGGAGAAGCACAATATCTTTGAGCTTGTGTTTGAGAATGCTTAGCTATGTTAAGAACCATTTAGTAAGGGCAGTGACTAAAGTATGTAAGTTGAGGTGAAACTGCTAGAATTAATGACAGACTCTAAAGACCATCTGCGGATTAGTTGTGGAAAGCTATAATTTTCTTACGGCCAGTAATTCAGAATCACGAGCTGCACGAGAAATCACTTCAAATGGCGTGTGATTTAGAAAAGGATTTTGTTCCCTCACCTTTAACCATGCCTTCGTACTGTGTCCTTACTTTACACTGTAATCTTATCCCTACTAGTTCATATATTGCACTTCAAGAAATTACTTCCCGTATTCCATTTGTATTCGTCCTTGTACATCTTTCGATTTCTTGAAGCAATTCTTCAACTAATAAATCCTTGACTTGTTCAAGAGAAGCTTAATTAAAGAGTGAAAGCTAGAGAAAGAAGGGTAGGCAGAAAAGCAAAAAGGGGAAAACAAAGAAACTGAGACAGCTGAGAACTAAGTAAAGGTATGGGCCATGAAATATTGCTCTTCCTTATCACCACTCGTAAATCCGATGTTAGCTTTACGCAACTTGAGGGTAATAATAATTCTGTTAGCTAGATTGCTAGTGCTTATATATCTTCTTTCTTTTTAGTTTTTTAGTGCATAAAACTTTGAACTTCGATATGGATTATGAGGAAAGATCAGAGGCTCTCTCTGGCCCTCACTGGAAGGGTGTAAGTGGTTTCCCCTCGTTTTTTTTTTTTTTTTTTTTTTTAATACTCTTTTTCATCTCTGGTTACTCATATTCTTAGGGACATGCTCAAGTCATAGTTTAGGAACTTATGCTGGACATCGTAAGAACTATTTCAAGATCCTGCTGACATGTAGAGATTGAATCTGACTTTGTCTCATTTCACTTTCAGAATAAAGTTTCTGATTCTCTTAAGTGATGGCTTAAATTTTTAGATGAAAAAAAGAGGAGGGGAAGAAGATGACACGATAGAATAAGTTGATCTTATTTTCATAGAATCGCATTCATTTTATTACCACTAAAGTAATTATTTAGTTGATTATTTTCAAAAACTTTATCGTGAATTATGCTTATTTGATGAAGTTAATGTTTGTTCTGAAGGATGGCTCTTCAGTATCGTCAGACTCAGCATGTCCTGCAACATGCAGAGTGCCAGCTAAGGCTCTAAATATCATATGGGGCAATGATCCCCGGTTTTGGCAATGGATCAAACTCTCAGAAGAGGAAACAGGGTAAGCTTTCAACATCAGCATTTGATCATATAGATATGTTAGTCTTTCCTTTCCGAGGATAGCAGCAGGTATACCTCATTTTGTCTTGTGCTTGAATTTTTTTTCAGGTCAATTGGTTTCAACGAAGGCACAATGCTCCTTCAAGTTAACTGGGTTGAGGTCACCGGGAAATTATCTACAACTGTGTTCAACGTTGCTTCAACAACAAAATATGAACTATACTATGTCATGAAATTTCAAGTTGATGCATTTGGTTGGCATTCTGTTCCAATCAACTTCAGGGTGAGGCTCAGTGGACAAGAGTCCGTGAGAAGCATCGTACTTCAGTCTTACAGGGAGAAACATGACGTGTGGCATGAGATTTGTGGTGGCGAATTTACGGTTTCAAAGAATGCAGCTGGAGTTGTAGAATTTGGCATGTTTGAAGTAGACAGTGACTGGTGGAAGGGTAGCATGGTTCTTGCTGGTATCAAGATTAGGCCAAAAGCAGTTTATTAGAGCAAATATTCTTGTTGTAAGGGTTACGAATCTCGAAATTTAAGCTGATTTTACGTTCTTTTCTTTTCTTTTCTTTTCGATGAACCGTGTTGTTTGACAACAAACAATAAAATGAAAACGACTATTATCAGTATCAAATCCTGTGATAAGATGTTGGAAGGTAGAACAAGCTCCACATTGTAGAAAAGTAATCCAAGATGCTCTTTTTTATCTTCTCAGAAGTCCAGAAACCAATTTTCATTCAGGGAATATAACTTTAATGGATGCTTTATCACAGAATAATTACTTTTTTCCTTTATATTGTACGCAAGATATGCGTCTTTTCACTTTTTCAAAAACCAAATGCATTATCAGCAAGTTGTAATCTCACCACTCGTAACGACATATTCTGTCGAATCCAATGCGCATGTGAATGCATCTATATGGATGTGAAAGGTTTGCAAAGCTAGCTCAAAAATACATATTCTCTAGCCCACAAATTCTAAGACCGCTTACAAGTCAATAATTAATAATTCAACACATTTGATCAAGTGATTACAGCCTAGAGACTTGATTAATTTTCCATTATTGGACGGCCAGATCAAGAGCCAACACATTTTTGGAGGATTAATTTATGACTAATTTGACCTTCTAGTGCACAAGATGGCTAATCTGACTTCACCATGCTATAAAAACAGTAGTGTGTGAGGAACTGATGATTATGAAGAGATGGGAGCAGGACCGTCACAGGATGAGGCTTCACAGTCACAAGAGACAAGGGCAGAACCCAGCTATCAGCCACAGTACAAGAAAGAAACATCAATGGAAGCAAAACCGAGTGAAACCAAGTTGAAGAAGGTGGAGAAACCGGCAGAAGTAAGGAACCAAGTGAGAGTACACGAGAAAGCAGCAGATGCTAGGCTACTTAGTGATGCCAAAGCGAAGAAGGTAGCAGAAGTAAAGTTACCACATAACTGTGAAGCCATATTAAGAGATGCAGACTTCCCAATTGACAGGTCTTCGGTGGAAAAATTGTATGATCAACTCAGCACTGGAGTTTTCTTGGACCAACAGAGCAAGGCTAGTCTCATTTCCATCTCCTTAATTATATCACTATTCTTGTCTGTATATCATTGACAAAAAACCAACAAAGGAACACCATTCTTATTATCACAATCGTACAATTTTTATTGCAGAAGTACTGGGTTGAAAAGAAGTACAACAGCAATTGCTTCATGGTGTTTGCAAAGGATCTATCAATCACTTGGGGGGAAGATCCAAGTTACTGGCGCTGGCCTTCCATATATGAAACAAGGTAACTGTAAAATGAGTTCAATCCAAAATTGGGTTTATATCTTCAGTATTTGATTTCTAAGATGCTGGAATCCTAGTTTCTATGAGGTACTTATTCTGATAAGCATAATGCATATACCTAGTGCACTTCAAAGTTCATGTTAACTTCATTTCCCGGAGAGTTCATTGTTCGTAATTGCTAACCATAAGTTCTCTTATGGCAGCGATGTTTGGGTGGATGTGGCAGAGCTATTAAATGTCTGCTGGCTGGAAATATATGGGAGATTCGACACAAAAATGCTCTCCCCAGGTATTTTGTATGAAGTTGTGTTTGTGATAAAGTTGAAAGACCCAGCTTATGGATGGGCAGCTCCAGTGACCGTTTCGCTAGTTCTCCCAAATGGATGCAAGCAAGAACGCAAAGAAAAGTTACAGACAAAGCTAAGGGAGCAATGGATAGAAATCCCAGTTGGCGAGTTCATAACGTCACCGGAAAATGTTGGGGAGATACAGATCGGTATGTATGAATATGACGGTGGAGAATGGAAAAGGGGCCTTGTTATTAAAGGGATTACCATTCGACCAAAACTTAAGCTTGCACTAGAATGATACTCCTAATATTACTATCCTGACAGAATTGAGCGAAAGAATAATCTACAATGTCCTTCAAACATGCAGAGGATAGCCAAGTTACCATGCGTTGAATAATCAAACACAGATTCAGAGCATGAAGATCCCCAAATTTCTAATTAGTGGATGAATGAAAATAAAACTGTGTTAATTTTTAATTTTGTTTTACGTTTTTGAAATGATTGCAATATGATGGCATTTTCACATATTGTATTTTGGCCCACATGACACCATCATCAAGAAACTAAATTGCTTTTTTGCAGCTCAATTGTAAAGATCGTGACCATGGAAGAGGATGCATAAAACTAATTCTTTTTATAAAGAAACATCTATGTTCCTTCTCATGGAAAATGACAAGGAGCTGATACATTTAAAAGTGCAAAACAATCATAAAAATGAAGCCTATCTTAAAAGATCAATTCAGAAGAAAAAAACTAAATAAATAACAAGTTGGGGTACAAGATGCAACACCTGCTTGTTGCAGCAAAGCTCCAAATGAGAATAAATGCTAGGTCATTTTAAAGATCCGTGCGGTAATTTTCTGGTTTATACCACAATGAGAAATCAATTCCTTTGCTTTTCAGTTCCTCAGTTGCAGGTGCAATCCTCTCCAAAAGCTGCATTATAAAGATAATCAATATATATCATCTGGTTCAAACAAGATCACAGAGCACGCTACATTATTTGGCACATGATGTGAAGTCATGAAACAGCTACCAAAAGAGATGAGGATCAGATAGTGCAATTTACAACTTGAATATAGATTATCTGATTTATTTATTTCCATAGTGAAGTAAGTTTAGACTTCTTCCCATCCATCAGGGGATTCAGGGCAATCTTTTCTGGTGGAAGGAAGAACAAGCTCCTTCAGAAATGGGTACTAGATATTTTCCAGGTAGAACAAGAGGGCCCAACAATTAGCTATCCAAAATTGTGACTTCAGAAGCTATGTTTACTGTGGAAGCCATTCCATTTGGTGACATTTTTCATGCCACTGGTCTTATGTCTTCACTCAAAGAGCGAGAAAACAGAGAAAGAACAAAATTCTGTTTAATTTTGTCAAAGAAAACAAGTGAAGTCTAACCTTGGCATGCAGCACACCGTTAGACACCAAAACAGATCTATCAAATACACAAAATTTTCCACCATCCATGCGAGAAGCTGTCCCACCAGCCTCTTCGACTATCTGCATGAAAAGGGCAAAGAAGACATTCATATTGAAATATATAGAACTGACCCTGATTGCAAGCAAAACTGTGTCCATGTTTAACCAATATAATTTGAAGGAACCTGTTCGTGTTAGTTAGGGAATTCCAAGGATGGTGTTTGTGATAATAGCAGGTTGAACAAGGATTGAGTAAGAGAAATAACCATATTGCCTAGAACAGTGGCACTATATTCACTGTGGAGATTATGGTTGGAGAGTCACCGTGGATATTTAGGGGGAGAGCAATCGGTCAATGACTCAAATGGCAAATTCAATTGATAATTACTCCTTAGTTTCTAGCAAGCATTACCTTCAAATCTTTTTTGAAGGGGTAACTTAAGTAGTTTCTATGTGGACACCAACCTAGGAATCCATTATAGAGATTAGCAAAGAGTTAGTTATTCCAAGGCAGAAAACTAAGTCAGGAAGCCTTGCCACCATACACAACTAAAGGTAAGTTGCGTTCTTTAGCTTGTTACATGGGATATATCAGGCACCAATGTGCTAATAGGTCATTATTCACTCCATAAATTCCACAATCTCAAACAGAGAAATAAAGACTAATTGCATATTAAGCAAAAACATTTGTAAAAATAGAACTTTACCAGAACACCAGCAGCCATATCCCATGGCTTAAGACGATATTCCCAATATGCTTCTACAGTCCCAAGAGCTACATGGCACATGTCAACTGCAGCAGCACCAAGCCTTCTAACACCCTATACACATTAGAGAGCAGAAGAAGAAATATGAAAAAGAATATTTTATGTTAACGAAAAACAATAGCCTATCAGACCAGAAACGGTTTAAAAGGAAAATGGCAATACCCTGCTGACATCAGTAAACTCCTTGAATAGTTCCATGTTAGTGGCCCATGGATCATCATGTTCATATCCAAAGCCAGTCACAAGAAGAGACTGCTCAACCTAAAAAACCAAAAAGCACAAGGAGAACCAACAGAAATGAGATTCAATTTAAAAACTATGAACTTGAGGATAGTTATAATCTACCTTGCTAATATAGTCAAAATGATCAATTTATGTCATTTATTAACTCATCCATTTACCTTTTCATTCTTCGTGATTCTAGAAAGATAAGATGCAACATGATAATTTTATATGTAGATAAAATAATGCAAGTCAATTAACTCTCCATGATGAGTTTGCTTTTAAGAGTGAGTTCAACTCACTAGCAATGAACGCTTAATGCTTCAGCAAGTAACTATCCAGATTTTAAACATACCTCTAGAACATTTGAAGGGAACATGCTTTTTTGGTCATTCTAGTAATATTAGATGATTTGGTAATGTGTGAAAACTAAAGAGCTTTAATCAATACATCATCACTTACCTGATCAGTTTGACTCGCATGAATTTTTTGGCCATTACAAAATGCTCCTCCACCTGACATGATTAACAGTAGTTCCATCCATAGATGAACAAAATGACTGAGGAAATTAAATAAAGAAAATTACAAGTTAATGCAAAAATTTCTCACCAGCAGTTGCAGAAAATATGCGTGTGTTCCAAGCCATAGGACCACCAACAAACTCCACCTAAAAACAAAAGCTAAATTGTCAGCTTCCCTTTCTTTTTCAGTTCTTGAATGTTCAAGTGATTTTTTCACTTCATTATCTTTTAAGAACAAGATTAAGTTTGATCAGTACCACAGCAGCAGCTGCAGGATTTCCTCGAAACAGAACTCCCACTGAAACTGCAAAGCTAGGATAACCATGAGCAAAATTCGTCGTTCCATCTACACAAATAACAAGTTTTGATAACTTCAAGTCATGTAACATAACAAGACAACAATTTAGATCTATTCATCTGATATGATTTTCCAATATATGTCCAGAAAAGTTGCCGATCATAATACTTCTAATGATGGCAAAATTGGTAGTTAAAATTGAATTCTCAAATGCTATATAACTGTAACTTTTCAACACCCAACAAGGGAAAGCTAAAAAAAAAACTCTTCAAAAAGGGTTAAAAAAAAAAAAGAGTAAAAAGCAAAAACAAGAATGATGAACCAAGAATTTTAAGAGACAAACCTAGAGGATCAATGCACCATAGATAATCAGATAACGTATCTCCTATGATTCCTCCCTCCTCCCCAAGAATGAGGTGATTTCCAAAATTCCTTCTAACAACTTCTAAGATAGCAGCCTCACTCATTTTGTCCGTGCTGCAAGTAAATTCGGATAAATAAAGTGAAAATTGGCATGGTTCAGTTCCAGAATCTGATAAATTAAGAATGTAAACCAATATATCAGGTACTTCAGAAATCTTTAACTGAAAAGCATTTTAATGACCATATAGAAACAAATCTGTCCATGAACAATTAAGAAAGAAACCTAACAGTCAATACATGCATCATTTTTATGGACTATAAATGGTAAAATGACTACACACTATAGTTGAATGGCACAATCACATGTTGATTGTGCCATATGGCTTTGTGTTTGGGAGCAAAATATGTGTGTGGGAGCGTTCATCATATATGGGAAAGGGAAGGTGGAGAAAGGATTGTGGAAAAACATCTTCTAGCCTCTGAAGGCTGTAGTCTGTTCAAATACTTGATAAGGAAAATCAAATTCAAGGGCATGACTATTAATCACTGAATACTTTGATTAGATTCAAATATTTTATTTTTGTCTGCATATTGAGAATACTCATTAGATACAAGGCCAAATAGAGGTTGAAAGTTTCATTTTATCCACTTGAAGGATTCACAGCATCCAAAACACAAGAGACACACCATGTGAATCTTGGCCACTTGACTACTCAGCTGGGTTAAAAATGGGAATTTGAGACAGGAAAATCAAAACATTTTTAGGGGGCATTTGAAGGAAGTTCTGAAGCTGGCTCAAAGATTGTTTTTCTGTTAAAAAATCTAATAGGATACCATAATCAATTGCTATTACATTACATCCAACATATTTCTGAAAGTCTTTTAACAAGCAAACCAGAAAAAATAGTTCAAAGTATTATACTCTAGTCTACAGAAAAGAGGTAGATGAATTTATTTCTTAAAAACAAGTACAAATACAATTAATCCACACAGATCACCTTGAATCTTATCTATCATCTATTTAAGCTAGACAATAAACTTTTCCCCTCAAGATCATAACACTATATGAGTATGAATTGGAAAAAAATATAGACATACATCATTAGTTGGGAAACTTTCATAAGTCCTTACTCGGTCACTAAGTCTGTAAGTCCTTTATATGTGATATTTCGAGGCTTATTAACGGCATCCATCACTACCTGGATAGAGAAAAGAGAATGTATACGTAATTACAGGTTGTTGATCTATAGAAAAACTAACATACTTGTCCACAGCTGCCTCTAAATTAACAGTGATACAAAGAGCCTCTAAGGCAAAACAACTTATGTTCAACGAACTGCCAACACAACCATATTAGTCGTGGTTCAATTTCCTCATTCCTGATATATGTACAACAGTCGATCATTGAGCCATAGATGTTTAATATAGTCTAACACATATTTATAATTAAAAACCTTACTTTAAGATAAAATTTACTCAAAACGTTCACTTGAGAGATATAAAGCATGATAAACAAATATAAATATGCAATTTTTTATCTTCCCCGTATATATATATTCAAAACATGGCAGTGAGTTGGAATATTATATCCATAATTGAACTGACTATTTATTAAAACTTCATATCCTACATGTACTAAAGTAGAACATAACTGAGGCATTCCAGATTAATTAAAACAGGAAATTATTTTCCGAAGAAATAAAGTTATTATTGCTAAGAGAAAGAACAAAAATACAACAAAATCTCATAAATTTTACATTCCAATTAGCTTATAAATAAACAAAGAACTTTGAATTAAACACAGAGAACCATAATCAAAGCCCCTCTCTCATAACTTAACAATTTACACAAGAAAAACTACAAAAAGAGAAACCAACCTCAGCACCAGTCTTAGCAGCAGCCTCAACAACTTGAATAAGCTGACTAGGAGGTATAGGCCCAGTTGATGAAGCACCCACTTTAGGATACTTCCTTTCATTGCTAATCTCAGATAAAGCAGCCTTCGTGCACACATTTCTTGCTAATTTCATGCTCAAAGGCTGAAATCTTTGATGCCCACATTGAGAATTCTCACTAAATCTTTGTGGAACACAAAGTTTTGAGTGATTTAAGAGAGAAAATGATCTGGGTTTTTGAGAAAATTTAAGGGGAATGCTTGTAGAAAACACTAGGGACCTTCCCATTTCAATGCGAATTACAGAGTGCTTGATTTTGTGACTTTTTGAGCTGCAAAGTTTGGACCTTTCTGAGGTATTTCTTTTATTTTGCTAGTGCTTGTGATTGTGCCACAGGTTTATAAGCATCTGTGTTGTCAAATCTTGTCTTGGCAGTTGGTACTAACGTCGGATGGAAGGTTGTTGGAGACTGAGTGGCATTGTGTCACTCATGACAAGATACACGTCGTTCAGCATTAGTTGAGGGTCAAGAAAAAGGGATGCAAGAAATGAATAATCTACAATCATAATTTTTCACAAAACAAACAAAGTCTAATAAGGCTCAGTTTATTTAACGAAAAATAAATTTTATAAGAAAATTAATTCCTGAAAATTTTATTTTTTATAAAATTATTTTTCAAAAATATATTTTTTATTATTTAATAATTATATGAAAAAACTGTTAAAAAATATATTTTACTTTTATTTGATATAAAAAATGCTGGAGGATCAACAGGTTCTCAAGTCGTCTACCACAGATGCATGGTATGAGGTGCGAACATGCATGGAAGGGAAGAATGCTGCTACATAAATTCAGCCCGAGAATGAAATACGTTGAGTATCCTTAACACTAACCATATATATTCATAGGTACTTAATTAAGTTTCTTGGAAGGTTGATCTTGATTTCAAAAATGAGTCACCATATTAATACCCACCAATCTCAACGTAAAACCGTACAATTATTGTCCTATAATTAATTAAGTTGTCATTACATTATTACTAGTTTCTTACATGACTTATGCAAGTCGATCAATTGAAGGGTTGCTATTGATTTTTCTGGAGCATATCAACCACCATCACCGAGCCAACTGGTCCATCCTCCTCCTCCGCCGCCACCTTCAAGGGTGCCATCAAGGTCCATATTAGCCACCTCCTTTTTTAAAAACTAGGCATAAATAGTATAATTACGTCAAAAAATTATCTCAATCCAAAAACTTAAACTATTAGATAAAACTTCAAAATATTATTTATATTATTCTCTAACACATTTCTTCAATTGAAAGTCTTTTACCTCTTGTTTGGATAATTCCTCTTAGGAGGAAAAAAAATCATTTTCCACTTCTTGTTTGGATAAGAGTAGAAAAAAAATGAAAGAAAATACATTTCTCTTGTTTGGATAATTGTAAAAAGAGAAAAGAAAGAAAATATATTATTATATATTTATTATAATGCCCTTAGGATTATATTTTTATATTTAAATACTTATAATAAATTTGTGACTACCTTTGATCTTCAATAGTAAACATAATGTTAAACGAAAAATATCTCTTATGCTAAAAACGAGAAAGGAACAATTGAAATAAGCTCCATAGCTCTTATGACTTCCTGTTGTCGGAGGCGGACCACAATAATATTGTTTAACGTAGCCTTCAGCATCCAAATGGCAAATTGACTCACATGGATGTGGTCCTCTTTACTGATATCGATGCTACACTAATCCATTACAGCCTGTGGGGTGGGAGGAAAATTAGGATTTATTTTTTTTTTCTCGTCACATGGATGGGGCAAGGGTAAAAACGAGAAAGCCAAAAAAAAAAAGTCAGCTTCAGGTTTCCTTCCGTTTCCTCCTAAATTTGGAAGGAAAATGGGTCCCACGAAAAAAGCATTTATTTATTATTATTATTTTCTTTCCTTTGGTTTCCTCTACAATCCAAAGGGGGGAAAATTTTCATTTCTACCCTATTTTCTTTCCTCTCCCCCGCTTTCATCCCTATCCAAACAGGGGGTTAAACTTAAAACTTGCACAGACTTATATCACATTATGTTTAATTAATTAAAAAAGAAATGAAGATGGTGAGATTCGAATTCATGATCTGTTTAGTCATCAACATTCGGATATCATATCAAAGAACTATCTCATCCAAAAGCTTAAGCTTATTAGATAAAGTTTTAAGATATAATTTATTTTATTCTTTAATAAATTTCACATTTCGAAGTCTCTTTATGTGTCTAAATACAAAGTTGTTGTCTCCGATTTATTTTTTTTATTATTCTTTTAGTTAGAGATACGATTGACGATTGGGGATACAGATTGACGATGTTGTATGAGTAAATTATAAATTAGTCTCTCTAGTTTCAATAAACAAATTAATTAATTCTTCTCATTTTAAAAACTATTAATTACTTAATTCTTTGACCAGTATTGATCATGTTTAATTTAATATTGTTTTTATTTCTCACTATTTGGGGCATAAACACTGTAAAATTATATTTTAATCTTAATCTTAGATTTCCATCAGACAAATTATAAGCTTTGTCTTGATCTTGACTACAAGTGAATCACCCTTTAATTCTTTACTATATCCAAAATATTAAAAAGTTCAACTTCTACTTCTTACTAACAGTCAGATTATTGTCATAGTAGATCTTTCCATGGCATGCCATCTAAACTTTTCCAGGCTCGCGCAGCGACTGTTCATGGCTTTGAGTTGTATTTGAACTTGATATTCGACCATACAGAGTACAATCAACAGCACTACTGAGCCAATTTCTAAATTTCTTTGCTTGTATCATCTGTTGTTTCAACGGTTATAGTTTTTATGTCTTAAATCTTTTGCCCAATCATGGTTCTTCTGCTGCCATTTTAATTATAAAGAGTTTTTCCTGCATTATCACAAGGCAGTTTGTTGACTTTTCGTCTCAGAATCAATTTTGTGTGACTGAGTACATACAAATCACAGTTAGACATGCCACATCTTCCATGCCCAAAACAAGATGAAGAGCTTCGATGCAAGGGATGGCAATGGGGCGGGCATCATCGTCATCCCCACCCCGCCCTGCCCCGTCCCTTAAAAAAAACTCATCCCCGTCTAGTATTTCGTTCGAGACGAAATTTCGCTCTCCATCCTCACCTCAAACAAAGCTGGGCGGGGCTTCGCCAGATTATTTTCTTTAAAGATAAAATGGCAGGGTAAAGTAGAGATAGCCATCTCCTCCCCGTGTCCTGTTCAAGGTAAAATTTCGCACCCCATACTCATCCTCAACAGAGCAGGGCAGGACGACGTCGGGATGAGTTGGATTGTCATCCCTACCAAGTATCAAGCCACAAAAACAAAGAAAGGAATATAGCAATGTCTGAAGTATTAAAAAATGAATCACAATCAATCTATTTGCAAATGGCTAATCCTTGTTAAAATGCATCAAAAATGCCATCTTAGAAGAATAGCTATAACATATGCTATATACAAGCAGATTTGAACATGGTAGTGCACCTGTCATATTAAGAAATGCAGTTTTGCACAAATCCTATTTTCCATAATTAGCCCACTCCAAATATCTCTGGATGTTAGATGGGGTGCCACACAAAGTATTTCTCCACATGACTCCAAAGATGTGATGATATTCACTTACTATACAACATCAATCAAAACCATATTAGAGACAGCTAACATTTTTAAAAACTAGAGAGACTACATTTCATAAAATATTCCCACAAGCCAAAGTATTTTAAAAACTGATAATTTGTCTCAATATTTTTAAATGATGAAATATTTATGCTCGCTGATTTTCAGTGATTTTTTTTTTAATCATAGATTTATTGTTGATCATGTTTTTTCTATACTGTATTTTAAAAACTATTAATTACTCAATTCCTTTAAAAAATACAAAAAAAAAATGAAAAAAAAAACTAAGGTACAAATAGATTTAAAAATATTGAGACTAATGATCAATTTTTAAAATAAAAAATAATTAATTTTTTTTCAAACAAACTAATTTACTCGATGTTGTATTATGTGTTGTTATGAGTGTCGTCCTAATATGTCACGACTTTAAATCTAGTGAGAAATTGTCTTAATTTAATTTATTTAGGATTATCACTTATCTTAATTATTTAATAATTAATTTATTTTTTTATTTTTACATTTGTAATGTGAATTTATTATTTCAACAAAATATGCATCGATATTGTCATTTTTCTTTCAAGTCTGTTCTTTACATTGGAGTCTACGAATGATGTATTTTATTCTGTTTCGTTGAATTTCTTACCCGGGTACGTTTTGGTGGGCCGAGCCCAAGAACTGATGACTTGGACAGAGATCCATTGTTAATGAGATTACTAATTAGCTCTAGTAGGTAGTTTTGATTGTTTGGCAATGAGCCCAAGGCCCAAAAGAAAAATAGGAAACCAACCAAAAAATTAAAAAATACAAACACAAATTTCTCTCTCCCTTTTTTTTTTTTTTATGATAAGAATATATCAATTTATAATAGTTATTTCGTAAACTTACTTTTTAAGAAAAAGATAGACACATAAAAAAAAATCACATCTAGATCCAATAAAAATGATAAAAATATTTTTATGATAGTTAATTTTTTTTAATGTTTTTTTTTTACTATATTTCGTTATAAAGTAATTTATACTAATTACTTTTTAAATATTATAAAATTTCTTCCGGTTTACATGTTAAGAGAAACTAAAATTTTCTTTCGAAACATTTTAAAAGTATAAACTAATAAGAATAAATTTACTTAAATCTTGATAAGAATGTACATGTTTGACACGGTGAATTGATCCTGAACCTTTTGAATTGGTCTTCGAAACCATCTAGAAGCAGACAGATATCATTTTGGAGGGACCTTCTCTCCATTTTCCAGTTTTATGAAAGTTTGAATGTGGCAACAGCAGTTATTTCTTTGAACAAATCGAACAATACAAAGCAAGAAAAAAAAAAAAAAGTTCTAATATGCCAGGTGTCACAAAATTATAGGCTCCTGACTATTAAAGTCTTCTATTTTTTTTTTTTTCCATGCACGTAAGCAACCGACATTGACGAAAAAATATTCTCAAATACTAATTACTATATTTTAATTTTACATGCCCATATTTTTAATTAATCAGGCAGGCAACAAGTCTATAAAAATTAAAAAAACAAACTTTCATTTCATTCACTTTAAGTTTTTTCATACCCCAATAGGCAAAAAAATACTTCTTGATTTCAAGAGAAAATGAGTTACAACTACAATCAGTACCAAGCTCCTGCAGGTAATGGAATTTATGTTCATGTTCAACTTGAAAATATTGGTTTTTTTTTTTTTTTTAGTTTTATGTGATTTACAAAGTTGATAAATTGATGGGTACGTTGCTATTGATGTTGATTTTGCAGGAGTATATCCTCCACCTCCCACTTCATATCCACCCCCACCTGGTTCATACTATCCACCAAACCAGCGGTCGTATCCTCCGCCTCGTCCACCACGACAATCTTATCCACCACCAGTCCAAGGGTACCCTCAAGGTCATTTTGTTGCACCACCTCCGGTTAGTTACCCTACGAAAAACGGCCCTCAATACCAACCACCACCTCCTCCAGAAACTAAGAACAGGGGTGATGGATTTTGCAGTGGATGGTAATTTAACATTCAATATTTTTTTTTCTCTTAATTTGCTTCTAAATAATGATTCACAGTGCACTTATTATTTTTTTTTTCCTCTGACACAGTTGTGCTGCCTTATGTTGCTGCTGCCTCTTAGACATGTGCTTTTAAAGACTATGATTCTTTGTAAAATTTGTAGCTCATCTCTCCCATTATCTCTTGTGAGAAATTGTCTCTCTTTTTTTTTTTTTTTTTTGTGATTGAGACATTTATTAATTCTTTTTTATCCAATAATAATTATTCAATTTTTTTATATATATTTCTCCCAATTACCTTCGACGGCAAGAGGAAAAGATTGGTTGACAACATGTTGTCAATGAACAGAGATTTACAACATCTTTGGTGTGAAACGCTCGTATCTTTTTTCTTATGTCTTGCAATCCTGACCATTGAATACAAATAGCAAACATACCAGCCATTAAACAAAATAGCAGAATCAAGAGAATTATGCTAACAAAATAAAGGAAGAGATGAGGAAGAAGGGAGAAAAGAGTAGAATTTGATCCGTATCGCCATTTTTAACCTCTTTCGCCGAAGCTATTGGGTTTGGAAATGGAATCATCTAATTTTGGGCTCACCACTGTCGGAAATAGCAATTTTTAGGCCCACACCCAACCGGGTCTAAAGGTCTTAAAAATTTAATTCATTTTAAATTCTTGATCGGTTAGTGAAAATGATGATTTTGGCGACCGTAATGGTGGAAAACGGTGGCCGGAGCGTGACTCACATTGAGACAATGATGAAACCACTGTACAAGGTGCCGGTGAACGACATTCATTCAACTCGAAGGAGTGCTTACTGCTTAGGGAGATGAATATGAAAGGCATGCCACTCATCTCTCTCTCTCTCTCTTGGGCATAACAGTAAACTAACAAATTTAATTGACATTTTTCTTTTCATTTGTAATTAAAAAGAAAAATTAATAAACCAATATTTATTTTTCTATAATTTCTTCGTTTCCATTTTTTAATAATAATCAGATATAATTAAAACAATTGAAATTTCTTCCACTTTTAGAAACAATACATAACAAGACATCTAAAATTTAAAAAATTCAAAGAAATAGCCGGTAAAACATATGGAAATTTCAGGGAAAAAAAAAGATTCATTAGTTAAATAAAAAAATATTGTTTTTGTTTAGCCACAAGATGGTAAATTAGATCCAGAGTTTGATTTTTATGATAAATACTTTTAAAAATTTATTTTCAAAATATTTGAATCCAATAAAATTGGTTTTTGATAAACCTTGTTAAAATAAGATGTTGGCTAACATGATAACAATATAATGACCATAAGTTTAGGTAAATATTGTTACAGTAAAAGAGAATTTTTTACTCATTGGACAATAAATATTCCAAATATTTTAGTTTTGTTATTAATGTTGACTCAAATAAAAAATATTGAAATGAATTTGGATGGAGGAACAAGTACGTAGATCCTAATTGCCGAACTCAAGCCTAAGCCAGAAAGGAAAAGGCAGGTACTACAAATTCCCAAGTGGAGAACAAATTAAAAAATTAGAGTAGTATTACTTGTAGAAGAATGTACAAAGGTGAATTGCTCATGCAAATTAGTATTAGTTCTTGAAGGAAGATTGTTGTGTCCTTTCTGTCAAGCAATGGGAGGAGCTCTGTGGTATGATGGAACAGTTACAGGGAAGAACATTTGTCTAATTCCTTCACTCTTTATTATTGGAAAGATGATTCCTGATGCCCCCTGAAGACATATATTTTAACCATGTTAGAAAATCTTTCTTACACATGAGTCTACCTTGGAAATTAAACAAAATTTCGAAGAAAATTTGAGAGCAAATTCGTTCGATATATACCGAAATCAATCTAGCACCGGTCCATATCCGTTTAGGTGATGGTAAAGGAAGCACTAAGCGGCCGACGCCATAGATAGCCACCGCGAAGAAATGGAGAACCAAGCTCAATGGCCGAGGGTGTAGACCAGAGAGTAGAGATATTGGTCCATTCGAAAATACTCCTCCTAGGCTTAAGTAGTCGAAACATGCTTGCCGCATTTCGTTTCTAGCTGGATCGGACGATGCACTAAACACCTTGTATAGGGCACCTGCCAGTGTGTTTATGGTAGATGCCACTGGCTGCAAAGAGATTCGTGAATCATTGGTTAAAACTCGGAGCATTATTAAGCTTTATTCGGATTTTCATCGGCTTGTCTTACCTTACGCAGGGTGTAGAATGACTCGAGATATTTGCAGAGGGAAGATGGATCATTCAGATTGTATAGAGGTCTAAGAAGGTCACGTAGCAGAACAATATCAGATAGAGCCACAGTCATTCCTCCTCCAGTTAAAGGATGCCTCATGTTGAATGCATCGCCCATTAGAAGCGCACCTGGAGTGGGGCGAGGAGAAGCTGGCATGCTTCGGTTAGTCATTGTTCTTATGCTCCCTTTGTCGATTGCAGAAACGAAGGCATCATACAGCGCAGGAGGGATCTGAGACATGCAATTTGATTGATATATTAGTCTGATGAATCGAAGTAGTGAGAAAAAGCGGTAGATTTAATTTAATGACCTGGGGAGCTATTGTAGTTTTCAAATAGCGAGCCATTTCACCATTGGAAAGGGAAGGTACTTTCTGCCCAGGAACGTCCACCAAACAACGAATCTCGGTGCTACTAATAGGATAAAACAAGATTGGAGATGGATCTGCCAGAACAACATGCCCATGATTTGCATATGGAAGGCTGCAGTTCTCCAGCACCAAACCAACAAAACAGGATGGGATATCAACCTGCAGAATTAACAGGGCCCTCTTAATTTCAGCTGGCAAGGAAGATTAAAAATTATGCAAGTGCCAAATTAACATACAATATAAAATTCCCATTTGATGAAAAATGTTATATGCCACATTACTAGTAGCACACAGAATTGTAAACTTTTTAGCAGAGGAATTTGTTTTTGTATTTTGGTAAACTGATCCTCACCTTAGGATTGCAAAGAGACCGCCGCAGATTTGAAAAACAGCCATCGCAGACTATTGTTAAGGGAGCATACGCTGTGAACTCTGTTCCAATCTTGGTTCTGTACTGCACTCCTTTAATAGTTCCCTTTTCTTCAATAAGTGATGTTACTGTTCCTTGTTCCAGTTTGACACTGGACAAAACATTGCAAGAAATTTGTAAAGGAAGTATTATTATTTATGCAACCACCCCAGATAGATCATGGTTGAAATACTAATTTGAAACAGAAGATAATAAGTATAATGAGTGTGAATGAATGATTACTTGGAAAGAGTTGCGGCTTTGTCTCGCATTTTCTGAATAAAACGGCCATTATGAAAGCTTCTTCCAGCAACATCTGAACGAAGGTTCTCTAATGGATATGATAGTTTGGTACTTTTCCCATCTTTAAAGATTGCATATCCAAGCACTCTTTGAGCATCAATCTCACTCACACAATCTGCAGTCACACAAATATTTTCCTTAGCAATCACTCCCAAGGTTATGAATAGTTTCTTCACTGAAAATTTTAGCTGGTTCCGCAGATATAATGAGGTGAAGGCTCACCTTCAAGGCCCAACTCAATTAATTTCAGGTAACCTCCAGGTTGTAGGAGTTCTCCAACAATTCTATCAGGCTCAGTCAAGTCTCTTTCGATTACGTGCACTCTGCGTCCATCCTGCAATATGTCGAGAAAAAATAAGATTGCAATTCATTGCTGTCGTCTTTTTTAACTAAAGTAATGGTCATAGAAAATCACCTTGGCAAGAGTGTAAGCAAGAGCTGAACCAGCAACACCAGCACCAACAATGATTATATCAGTGCTTTCTGTATTGCATAACCTGCTCATTCCATTTTTAGAGTTCTTAAAAGTTCCGTCCTTTCGAATACCCTTTGAAACTCTGCCTCTTCTCTTTCCTTTTGCATGAAAAACTAAAAGCAACCCCAAACCCAAAACAGAAGCAATGACTGCTCCCAATAGATACTGATATTCCATATTTAGAGATTGATCAGAAAACAAAGCTGAATGCTGCTGTTCAAGCTATTACCTCTTACTAGACTTTGCTTTTCTTTTTTAGTCGATGAGTACAGGACTGATCTTGTGCCTTTTATAGGGCTTAAGAAACAGTTAAAAGTGTGGTCATTTTCTGTGAAATAGTTAAGCAATTATGAATTGCATGCTTTCAAATAAAACCGTGGGAGCCAAAACAAGGGGAGATTGGCAGTTCGGTTGTTGCAATACTGTCACAGATTCGTTTACTGACCAATTTTTTGTAAGCATGAGATAATATATACAAAACATAGGATCGATCGGTTGTACACTTGACAAGTTTGACTAAGCTACTGGCGTTTAGAAGCTACTATCTTGAGGAAAGAACAAAAAAAAAAACTAAGGTTTTGTTCGTCAATACATGATTTTCATGACCTAAAACTTGTAATCATACCTACAATGATACCGAAATGGAAAATCATCGGCTCAAGTCGGCCATGATTTTGACATCGGTCTACATTTGTGTCTTGACCTCCACCATGCTTGACCTATACCTAAGGCCATAATGAGCAACTCTTGGAAAAAACTCTCAAATTTTTCCTTGTGTTTCGTTTAAAGTTGGCAAATTTGTTCTTGTGAAAAAGATTAAATTTATTATGTATCAAACTTGATGGTAATTTTGATAGTTTGGTTATTACGAGCCCAAAGACCAGTAGGAAAGAAAAAAACACACAGAAAAAGAAAAAGAGACGATGGTTCCAATACACAAATTCCTGGTTGGTTTTGTGTTCAAAAGCTGAATTCTTTGGTTTATATGTCACAATGGTACACAAATATTTTTGTTAGTAAAAGATGAAAGCGACACCATATCCAATCTAATGGTCTCTCCATCTCAGTGTCACTCCCTCTTGTAGCCAACATTTTCAATAAATATATTGAAAAAAAATTCACAATTCCAAATTGCTTGAACCGAAAATATACCATTAGTAATACTAATGCGCATATAATTTTTAAGTAATTATTATTTTAAGAGTTATGCATATTTATCCTAAGCATTAATTATTAAGTTGTAGAAGATAATTCAATAGTGCTCCTAATTTTTACTTAAGTTTAATTATAAATTATATTATATAGTTCAAAAAAATTAATTAATTATAATCAACAAAATTTATATAAGATTATTTGAAAATCAAACATATTTATTTAATAAACATTCAAATTTATTCATTTGTAAATAATTCGAAATAATTTATTAGAAACTAGAAAAGAAAAATAATATTAATCTATAATAATATATAAAAGCGCAAACTCCTTAAAAATTTTGATTAACTATTATACTTTTAATACAATAATACTATTATAACCTATCTCCAATACTAATATGTAAATTCTACCCCCTTCCAGTAGAGGAAAAATCCAACATTGAAGAAATTCTAAAATTTTTTATTAAAAAAAAAAAAAAACAGAGAGAGAGAAGGTTAATCCCCGTTTACAATTATTTTTCTATTTATTAATCACATAAAACTTTAAATAACACAAAATAAGTTTCATAAATTACTCCTACCCTACATGGGACATTATTAGAACTTTATTTTTCCTATCAAAACGTAAAAAGAAGTCCATTAATGTCAATAATATTAAAATCCAAAAATAATAAAGCTACGTAAGTTCGTCAAATTATTAAATTAAATCCTTATTCTTTTATAGGATTTTTTTTCTTTTTGTTATTGTATTATATACTTTTTATTCCTCTAGAAAAAATGGTCCATAAAATTTGTGTTATTCCTTTTGAAAAAAATTTCTAATTAAAAAAATAGTTATTAAAATAAAAGTTCATAAATTTTTTATTCGTCACTATATTATCAATTCTATTCACATCACATATAATTAAAAATAACTCTTTTAAATAAAAATATCCATTCCTCAGCCCAAAACGGATTCTTGGTTACGAAGTCATAACCCAATCCAATCCATTTGATGGTTTGCTAAAGACTCATAGCCCAAGGAAAAATAAAAGAAGTAAAAGAAAAGACCAAGATGTTTTTCAGTCCCTATACACGTGCCGTTGAGTAAATTATAAATTAATCCCTTTAGTTTCAGAAAATGAATTAATTAGTCCTATTAATTCAAAATTAATTATTTAATTTCTTAAATACACTTAATTTAATAATATTTTATTTCAAAAAATATTTTATTTTCTAATTAATCTTTCTATAATATCTATTTATTTTTTCTTCTTTTATTTTTTAAAAACAAAACAAATTAAAAAGAACATGGATAAAAGGACAAAATAATATTTTTTAAAAAAAAGGATTAATTCATTCATTTCTTAAAAATAAAGGAACTAATTTATAATTTACTTCTGAAACCAATTAGATGGCATACCATTATTATTTTTTAACACGTAATTAATTTAATTAACAAATTAATTATAAAAACAAACTAAATTAAACTAACTAACAATTAATAAATATTAAATTAATAAAAAAATTAATTAGTTATAGATTATACAAATGGAAGAGTAGAGAAGGAGGTAGGTGTTGCCGCCAACGCACGATAAATAAATGGAGGAGTTATTGCTTTGTTGGACGGTGGTCGAAGATGAGGAGGGAAGGGAGAGAAGGAGGAAAAGGGGAAGAAGAAAAGAAGAAAAAAAGGGAGATTTGGAAGGAGTTGCAACCGAGATTTGGAGGGGAAATGGGAAAGGAAGTGGTGGAGCTATAGCTACGGGAAGAAAAATAGAAAAAAAGAAGAAATGGAGAAAAAAATTTCGATCGGTAGCTTTTAGGGATTTTAGTTTTTAGCAATGGGTTAAAACCGTTGCAAAAAACATTAATTTATTCAAATTTGCTCGTTTTCCCTCCAATGGTAATAAATTAGCGACAATTTTTATAAACCATCTCTAATTTTGTTATTTAGGGATGGTTTTCATAAAAAAAAAAACCATCGGATAAATTTCTTTTTTCAATTGAATTACCAAGTTCATGGATTTAAAGACAATTTTTAATAACCGTCGCTAAATACACTCATAATAAAAGATTTTTCGCCACGGTTTTACACAAACCGTCGCTAAAAATCATATTTTTTGAAATTAACAATGGTTTAGTTAAACCCTCACTAATCTCAAAACATTTATCTTTTTAGCGACAATTTGTTTAAAAATGACGCTAAAAATGGTCATGGGTGACTAAATTAATGATGATTTACAAAACGTCGTTAAATATCCCATTTTGAGAAGGGAATAGCAATGGTTTTATGAAAATAGTCGCTATTTTATGGTTTTAACAATGATTTTCTATACCATCATTAAAAATTCATCGTTAAAACTTATTTTTTTGATAGTGGTTGAATAATACACTTGAGAAGTACAAATCCTAAAAATGCTATATCAAATTCATTTGGTCATATTTTCCCGTCTATATGAAAAGGGGCATAATTGACTCATTTATTATCATGAATTCCGCCTAGTTGTCCCTTCGTCTATTTTTGTTAGTTTGCCTAAACACCTTTAATTGACCTAACGAGAGCTAGTGAATGAATGACACATGACATATGGATCCACTAACTTAAAAATCAGAATATTTTAAAAAATAGAATAAATAAATAAATATAAATGAATACCTATAAATATATTTTTTCAGAAAAAAATATAATGTACATGTTTACATTAATTTTCCATGTTTGGACCAAATTTTAGTTTGTTCTTTAAAATGGTTCCCGTGAATGTTTCTTCGCCTCATACGTTTAATGTTCTCAGCCCAAAAAGACGATTCTGGGTTACGAAGTCATAACCAAAGGCCCAATACAATCCATTTGATGGTTTGCTAAAGACTCATAGCCCAGGGAAAAATAGAAGAAGTAAAAGAAAAGACCCAGATGTTTTTCAGTCCCTATACACGTGCGATTGTGTAAATTATAAATTAATCCCTTTAGCTTCAACAAATGAATTAATTAGTCCTATTAATTCGAAACTAATTATTTAATTTCTTAACCATGCTTAATCTAATAATATTTTATTTCAAAAAATATTTTATTTTCTCATTAATCTTTCCATAATATCTATTTATTTTTAAAAAAATTAAAAAGAACATAAAATGTATAAAAGGACAAAATAATATTGTTTTTTTTTAAAAAAGGACCAATTAATTCATTTCTCAAAACTAAAAGAACTAATTTATAATTTAATCATAGTTGGACTAATCAAAGGAAAACATTTTTCCTCTCTCTTAAGAGCTGTCTCGCTCTCATATTACTCACATATCTTTTGATATATCTTAACAATTTTTTTATTTATCTCCTTTTATTTAAAATATATCAAATTAATTTTAGTTTATTTCTTATCAATTATTTTTAATTATTTAATCGTTTTTTTTTCTATTTCTACTAACATTTGATTTTTCAATTTATAAATACATTAAATATTTTTAAAAATCATTTTTATACCTGCAGTGGAGATGTTAAAGCCTCAAAGGTAACAAATACATAACAAATCAAGGCATGCGGTACAGTTCACAGGCAAATATTTTCCCAAGTTGAGAGCAAATCCCAAAAAAAAAAAAAAAAAAAAAAAAAAAAGGGTAGTATAAATTCTACAAGAATGGACGACAGAGTAAAATTACTCTCACAAAGGTGAAATGCTAGCTCATATAAAATGAGAATTAGTGTTATAGTTGTTGATGGAAGAATTTTGTTTCCTTTCTGTCAAGCGATTGGAGGAGCTCTGTGGTATGCTGGTATCATTACAGGGAAGAACATTTGTCTAATTCCTTCAGCCCTTATTATAGGAAAGATGATCCCAGATGCCCCCTGCAGACATAGATGTTAACATTGTTAGAAAATCTTGCTTAGAAACTGAATTTAGAAGAAAATTTGAGAATAAATTCATTAGATTACATGAGATACCCACCGAAATCAATCTAGTACCGGTCCAAATCCGTTGAGGGGATGGCAAGGGAAGCACTAAGCGGCCGACGCCATAGATAGCCACTGCAAAGAAATGGAGAACCAAGCTCAACGGCCGAGGGTCTAGACCAGAGAGTAGAGATATTGGTCCATTCGAAAATACTCCTCCAAGGCTCAAGTAGTCGAAACATGCTTGCCGCATTTCTTTTCTAGCTGGATCAGGCGATGCACTAAACACCTTGTACAGGGCACCTGCCAATGTGTTTATGGTAGATGCCACTGGCTGGAAAGAGATTCATGAATCATTGGTTAAAATCGGTGTCTCGTTTTTTATTTCGACAAGCTTTATCAGGATTTTCAATGGCTTGTCTTACCTTACGCAGGGTGTAGAAGGACTCTAGATATTTGCAAAGAGAAGATGCGTCATTGAGATTGTGTAGAGGTCGAAGAAGGTCACGTAGTAGTACAATGTCAGATAGAGCTACTGTCATTCCTCCTCCAGTTAAAGGATGTCTCATGTTGAACGCATCCCCCATTAAAAGTGCACCTGGAGTAGGGTAAGGAGAAGCTGGCATGCTTCTGTTTGTCATTGTTCTTATGCCCCCTTTGTCAATTGCAGAAACGAAAGCATCATGCAGTTGAGGAGGAATCTGAAATGTGTAAGCTGGTTAAGTCTGGTTATGAAACCGCTGGAATGAGAAAGAATTTATTTACTTGAAAGCAAATTTGGATATATACCTGAGGAGCTATTGTATTTTTCAGATATTGAGACATTTCGCCATTAGAAACAGAAGGTACTTTCTGTCCAGGAACATCTACCAAACAGCGAATCTCAGTACTACTAATAGGATAAAACAAGATTGGAGATGGATCTGCTAGAACAACATGTCCATGGTTTGCATATGGAAGGTTGCAGTTCTCCAGCACCAAACCAACAAAACATGATGGGATATCAACCTGCAGAATTAGCAGGGCTCTCTTAATTTTAGCTGGCAAGGAAGATTGAATTATGGAAGTGCCAAATTAACTTTCAAGATAAAATTCCTATGTGGTGGAAAATGTTCTTCCATATTAGCACACAGAAGTATAAAACTTGAGAAAACGGATTTATTTTGCAATTTGGTAAGATTGATCCTCACCTTAGGGTTGCAGAGAGACCGCCGCAGATTTGAGAAGCAGCCATCACAGACTATTGTTAATGGAGCATATGCTGTCAACTCTGTTCCAATCTTGGTTTTGTACTGTACTCCTTTAATTTTTCCATTTTCTTCAATAAGAGATGTTACCGTTCCTTGTTCCAGTTTGACACTGGACAAAACATAGCAAGAAGTTTGTAAAGATAATTTTATTATTTATGCAACTACCCCAGAAAGATCATGATCAAATCCTAGTTTGAAACAGAACATAAGAAGTATAATGAATGTGAATGAAAGATTACCTGGAAAGAGTTGCAGCTTTCTTTCGCATTTTCTGAATAAAACGGCCATTATGAAAGCTTCTTCCAGCAACATCTGAACGAAGGTTCTCTAATGGATATGATAGTTTGGTACTTTTCCCATCTTTAAAGATTGCATATCCAAGCACTCTTTGAGCATCAATCTCACTCACACAATCTGCAGTCACACAAATATTTTCCTTAGCAATCACTCCCAAGGTTATGAATAGTTTCGACACTGAAAATTTTAGATGGTTCCACAGATATATTGAGGTGAAGGCTCACCTTCAAGGCCTAACTCAATTAATTTCAGGTAACCTCCAGGTTGTAGGAGTTCTCCAACAATTCTATCAGGCTCAGTCAAGTCTCTTTCGATTACGTGCACTCTGCGTCCATCCTGCAATATAATGAGAAAAATAAGATGGCAATTCATTGCTGTAGTCATTTTAACTAAAGCAGTGGCCATGAAAAGTCACCTTGGCAAGGGTATAAGCAAGAGCTGAACCAGCAACACCAGCACCAACAATGATTATTTCTGTGCTTTCAGTATTACATAACCTGCTCCTTCCATTTTCAGAGTTCTTCAAAGTTCTTTCCTTTCGAATACCCTTCGAAACTCTGCCTCTTCTCTTTCCTTTTGCATGAAAAACTAAAAGCAACCCCAAACCCAAAACAGAAGCAATAACTCCTCCCAATAGATACTGATATTCCATATTTCGAGATTGATCAGAAAACAAAGCTGAATGCTGCTGCTAGCCTGCTACTACTACTTACTAGACTTTGCCTTTCTCTTTAAGTCAATGAGTATGGGACTGATCTTGTGCCTTTTATAGGGCTTAAGAAACAGCTAATTTTTGACATTTTCTGTAAATAGTTAGGCATGAATTACATGGAAATATACTTAAAAATGAGTCGCATTCAAATAAAACCATGGGAGCCAAAACAAGGGGTGATGGGCAATTTCATTATTAAAATATTGTAACAAATTGTTTTACTGACCATGTTTGGTAATCTGTCATTTACTATATACAAAATATAGAATCACTTCATAATTTTGACTACACTGTTGGCAGGTAGAAGAAGCGTTTGAGGGTTTTAAAAGCTAAGATTTGGTGTCTTAATCGATTTTTTGCTTGCCCTAAAAGCTACGGTTTTGCAGTGTTAATAAATGTAGCTTGACCAAAATCCTGTAATCATATCCTCCATGAATGCCAAAATGTTTAATCATTGACTAAAGTTAGTCTATGATGTTGATAGGAGGAATCTTAGATTTATATCCCAACCTCTAGCGTACATGCCATTGATATAATTCCAAATGACCAACTCTTATGACATTAGGTTAGAGATAATAACATTTACTCCCATTTCAGGTTCAAATCCAAAGAAAAGAAAATTATTTTATATGTATTAATATGGATATATATGACCCACTTAAAACCTAATGGTAGAGAGTTGATAGGTAATCTTTGTGATTAAAAAACCTACTTGAGAAGACATTGAACATTTAAAAGGATACATGCGTTTATATATTATTTATTTTATTTTATTGATAAATTGAAGGATACCTACTTAAAATATGTTGACCATCATAAGAAATCCAATTTTTCTTTTTCTGGATGCGTAACACTGATTGATATGTATGCGCAAATAATATAAAGGTACGCTTCTAAAAATCATTTTAAAAAAACATTTTGTCTCTTGATTAACGTATAAATTGATCCAAAAATACTTTTATGAATCAAATAAAAAAAAAAAACATGCGCAAAGGCATGTAAATTTGACATTGATTACAATTTTTTTTTCCCCCTCACAGCAGATTATATTAAGTTTTAAGATGAAGAATAATGGATGAAAAAGCCCAAAATGAAAATTCTTAGTAACCTAGATTCAGCATCCATCCACTAGTATATATATATATATCACTCAAAACAAATGAGATTTGAGCTTAGAGAATAATCATAAGAGAGAGAGAATCCCAGAATTTATCAAGTACATCAATCAAATTGAAGACTTAACAACATACATACATTCATTTTAGCAAATTCCAGGAAGAACATGATTTATTACGGGGTTTTATGTACAAACAGTGCATGTTCAAACTGACCGACCATGGTGACAATCTGCAGAAGCATGATATACATACAACATTTACATACACTCGCACTCTTCTCTTTCTGAAGAGCTCACGATTCAACTTCAGGCGTCAACGGATACACTTACAGCATTTAGCTCAACGAGTTGCTTCCCTTCATTATGAGGATGCATAGTTACAGTGGCACAAGCTTCTGCAGGTGAACATTGATCATCTCCTGCATGAGAAACACAAATTGATCTCGTGAAAGGATTTCTATTAACCATATTGTCCCGGTCATCTTGCTCTTCTGAAATGATTTCCCACTCCTCTTTAAGTGATGTAAATTGTAATCCATTCTCTTTGTGCCTTTCCATTTCGAATGCAGTGGGTAGAATGACGTAATCATTTATTGGATTGTAGAAAGGATCTGAATCTGCCTTCAGCCAGTGCTTTAGAACCCGGAATAAATGATGGTCGCTGAGAATTCCACGGTGCTCACCAGGCACTCCAACCCTTGCTTCAGCATCGAGCCCATCGGCCTGAAAAAAGGCAAAAATGAGGAAAGAAAAACAAAATCTTGGAAAGAAGCATATTTCAAAATGTAAGCATCATGTCCTTCAGTAGCTACATGAGCTAAAGCAGTGCGCCGGTGAGGAGAAGCTTATTCATAGCATAGTTACTTTGGCAAACTATTAAATCAGAGAGCTACCGAAAAGCAAGTCACAAACCTTAGCTGATTCGGCAGGAACTGTCCCATCGCCATCAACAGAAATGTATTTAGGCTGAGAACACAAAAAAAAAAAAAAAAAATCAGCTTTTCTGACCAATTCAACAATCACAGCAAAGTGTTCATACGAATGCACAGAGATAATTCACTAAAAGAACTATTTATTTGCTCTAATATAAACCAGCGATTGAGTAGGTCAGAGAAATGACCGATCAGGTGACCCATGTCCCAATGATCAACTAGTTCTCTGACCTTAGGGCAGTAAACGAATACAACAAGGAGAGTTGTTTAGCACAACTCTTTCACTAAAAAGAACTATCAAATAGAGAAGAAAAACACAAGCATGCCATGGCTACCACACAAGTTATACGTGGGGAAAACATCATCATCAGATCAAGAACAATGTTGAGTATAAGATAATGACCTCACAAAACCGCAATTCTGGTAGATCATTGACAGGTACCTCTGCACTTCCATAGCTGCAGATCAGCAATTTGAATAAGAGGCAACATACATGAATAAAATAGTAAAAAGAATATGTTACGACATCGTCATATGATGCAAAGATGAAGTTTTAGACAGTTTACTAATGAGAGACAGGGTTTAGAGTTTAGGGTTGCAGAATGGTTGACCAACAGTTTGAAGTTTAGGTTTTCTTTGATAGTTCAAAAGTTATGGGACAGGGCAGATTTGTGAAAGAAACCACCCTTTTTGGAGGAATAGGTGCAGCAAATGATAATGTTATGCCTTGGCAAAGATTTAGGGATTAAAATGGGACTGAAAATATTTAGTTATGACAATGATATGGTGAAGTTCTGCTAAATTCAAATCTGAAAGGAGAAAAAACAGGAAGGTTTCCATTAGACCTAAATAATAATGGTAACAAATGGTGCAGCAAGATATAAAAACTCTTGCTATCCCAACAAATGGACCTGGACTCCAAGTAAACAAGAAATTCATACTTCAAATACAAAACTTAAAACACTTAAAAAAGACAGTTATACTAGGGCAAGACCCCATGGGCTGTTACTCGGGCCATTTCAGCACTACTGCCAATTATAGGATATTCCAAGTGACTTTCAGCATCGCTGTGAAAAAGCGATTCCTTTTCTCAAAATACCCTAGAATTTGACAAGTAATAAAAAATATCAGCACCTTTAAGTTATGGAAACCCTTAAAATAAGAATTCATTTTGACAAGAAAAGAACTTGAGGCAAGCCTGCCACATATAGATGAATCTATAACTTGAAATTCCTTTTATCTTTAGTTTGACTTTTGTTGAAGCTTTTGTTGTTTGCAAGCTTATGCAACAAAGCTTGCATTGCAGTTATAAAGTGCAAAGCTAAGACCTCATAGAAGCATTACCAAACAGTGTGAGGCGTTTCCAGATTGGTCCCATATATATTGTAGAATTTAACTCCAGGAGGAACTTTAGCACGAGACAGAACCTTGTGTGTTTCATCAGCCCATTTCAAGATATCTAAGTTGAAAGGTAATGGAATATCCTCTCCATCATAAATGACCTGGAATTAGAAAATACAGAGATTACCATCCAAACAAAATGATACGTGGAAAATCTCACTGACATAATCAAGGCATGATGGTTAAAAGGTAAAATTAGGCATGCTATTTTTCTTTTCATTCAACGTGCAAAATGTTTAAAAAAAAAGAAAAGAAAAAAAAAAAGAAGAAGAGGATAAATCAGATTTGTAACATCAATTATTTAGCCTTATCAATTATTTAATCGTTAAAATTTGTGACAGAAATGAACAATTAATCAGGATGGATAATATCAGAATGAAGTCTAATCGAATGATGATAAACTACAGCGATCTGCATTTTACATAATACAAGTTCTAAGCTCACCGTGTTACTTGAAAGAGCATCCTTGAAAATTTGGATGCTCTCTTCAGGGGAATATGACTCTAGAATTATCTGAGAATTTCCATCACTATCTAGCTTCTCTCTCCAGATTTCCAAAACAGGAAGATGTTGCCAACGAAAATTTGGACAAGCCATCATTTCATATATTGATGGACATTCGATAAGCTGAAAAATTGATGCACATAGAATCAGTATACAATATCCATGAAAAGCCATTTTAAAAGAATCAACTTTGAAAACCATAGAAAATTCTCGTGATTAAAGATACACAAATTGAATCAATAAAAAAGAGGACCTAATAGACACGTATTAAATGCCAAAGTAGATGGGCTCCTACCAGCTGGTGCATGCTCCATTTTGATATAAAAAAGTTCTGCTCCCACCCTTCAACAAATGACATTCCATTCAGAAAGGCAGATGTAATGTACCCAGGTGCACCTGTTGGACAAATGACAAATACAGCTTCATTTGAACACTGTTCAAAAACCTTTCACGGATTAGCTGAAATAGTAGCAATGGAAACTAAAAGCACAGTGCAACTGTACAAAATATTATGATAAGATTTTAATTGTAAGATAAATTAAATGAATGTAAGTTGGAAAACTTATATTACCCTAACAGAATTAGAAGTTCTACTTTGGAATATGTAAATATACGCTTGGCAATTGGTCCATATACAAACACAATCCTAAACTGTCAGATATAAACCACAGTGTTTCTATATTTTCCTTTTTCAAATGGAGCAAGGAAATGACTCCTATTTCAAGGTATATCAGTTATTCCAATTATAAGATTAATTACGAATCAAAGTTATGAAGTTTTTAGTGTGCTGATAAAATTGGAAGTTCTATTCAGTAAATAAAATTACACCATTGAAAAAACTTGGTAATAGGTCTATATATAAATCCAATCATAAATTGTCAAAAATAAGCTGCAATTTTTTCTACTATTCTACTTGCTCATACTCCACAAATAAATGACTCTTATTTCAGGGTATATAAGTACCATTTTGGGGAATGCACTTCTAACTACTAACAGCATCAATACTATGAGATGAATATAAGTAAAGTCACACTCTACCCACCAAAAGAACTTTTCGACAGCTCTTAAGCTAAATATAGGTGCAAACTTTTACATAGCACCAGAAGACCATGGGAGGTACAAATGCCAACTGGTTGGTTACATACACATAATAGAATAACATACCCCGGAATGGTGCAGCAATGGCAATCCAATTCTTCACGTATTTCTCAAATATCTGCCAAAAAACAGGCATAAAATTGAACTTTTATAAAATAAATATTAAAGAAGCATTGGCTAACAACTTAATCATCCAAATAGAAGGGAAGTAAGAAAAGAAACAGTAATCCAAGAGAGTGTGGGAATTTACATCACTGTGCAGGGACATGAAGCATTTAACTAGCAGACCCCCCATTGAATGACTTATGATGTTTATCTTTTTCCCTCCTGATGCTTCATACACTGACTCTAATTTTTTAGCAAGGCGCTCTAATGTCTCCGGCAACCTAGAAGATAAGCAAAGCATGAGGTGCCCAAAATTGTGAACAGTGAAAGGAAAAGAAACGCTCCACGCATTGTAAACCCAACACTTTCCAAAAAAAAAAAAAGGACCAAGAACTTGCAAATTATAGAGATAGCTGGTTGGTTTAATACATACCTGTTGCTTTGCCGAAAATCATACCCAAACCCGAAAAGAGTTTTCCCTCTTGAAAACCCCACTTGATCATTTCAACAATCATATCATGGAAATAATAAACACAGTCACGTCCTAGTACCTGCATGGAACAAAATACTGCATATGAAATCCATCCAGTTGGACTTAACTGCCATGCAAATTTAATTGAGAACTATAAAGCACAATTTATTGCAATATATTTTGATAATATCTATTATCACACTATTTTTCAAAATAAATCTAGTATCTGAAGAAATTTAAGACAAAGTTGTATATCAACCCACGTCAACCATGAATTTGGCATTTCATAATATAATGGAAAATAGAAAAAGCATTTTACACATGAGAGACATCAGAAATGACAAAACAATGAACGTTATAGCAAGTATCATGAACGTTGTTGCATATACTTAAGAAAGAGTTGTTTAAGAAGTACAAAACTATAATGAAGTTCTAGTTGCATTAAAGCCATGTAAATTAAATTAGACAACATCCAATACAATGCATATGAAATTTCCAGCAAAATGGGACTCTAGTCTTTCTGTAATTGCAAGCTTATGCTTCATGATCCAAATTAGAGCCATTGCAATTGTTATTAAATAAAGTAACTTCCAATTATAAAGAAAAATGGGAAAATCACTGTACAGCAAGCTTTCGAATCTAAATACCATGTAAAGTAAGCATAAAAGACATGAAGATGAAGAGCATACCATGTCAGGATCCAATACATCAATAGCATGCAATCCATATCTATCTTCAGGAACCACAATATTTGTCTTCGAATCTAAAGTCACAGATCTTCCTGTTTCCCATAAACACATTAATTTAGCACCACAAGAAAAGGAAAAAAAAAACCATGGACCAAAGTGGCATGCTATTATTCAGAATCACAAATTGTTCATCAGAGAATTTCTATCTAATTTTTTTTTTTAAAAAAAAGAAATACTTTCTGATTCTCAGAAGTATCACAAACTTCAAAAATTTGGAAATTCTCAAACTACACCCCATTTTCTAACTAAACTAAACTTTCCCCAAATCCTAAGCACCAAGCACGCTAAGAAAATCTTGAAATTTCCATCACAAGCTCATCAACCAAACACTCATTACATCATTTTACCCCCAAATAGAAAAGAACGTATTTAAAAAACAAAATCAAAAAAAAAAATTAATTTCTTGATTTCCACAAGAATCATAATCTTAAAACTTACATAAATTCTCAAACCTTACCCATTTTTTCCTTCTCCTCCAGTTTATTTAAGTAGAGCAAACTAAGCTAAACTTTCCCCAGTTTCTAATCAGCCACACTAGTCTTAAATTCCTCAACTATCCATTATTTTCTCAGCATCCAAACATAACCTTAAATAAAGTCCCACAAAAATCACATTTTTTTACTTCCATTTTACAAAAAAATAAAAAATAAAAAATAATATATATATATATATATATATATATATATATATATATATATATATATATATTAAGAACACCCAAATAAAAAATCACAAAATTCAAAAAAAAAAAAAAAACAATTTTACCAGTTTGAGGATCAAAGCGAGACCAGAGCTTAGTTCGAAATGTATAATCAGCAGCAAGAATCCGAACCCAAACCCGTTCTTCTTTACTACCATTCTCCGTATCTACTGCTTTTAGAATCGAACCTGCAATCCCTGGGACTAAAAGAACCGGGTCGAGATTAGGGTCAACGTAAGGCTGTGGTTTTCTTATCATGTGTAACCATAATTCCACCGATCGAACAATGTCCTCCAGTAACATAGCCATGATTGATTGATTCGAAACCGTACTTTAAGTATAGATTGAAAATAATTAGGAATTTTTTGAGGGAGAATTGAAAATTTGGGATTTGGGGCTTTTTCAGATCGGAGACTTGAAGACAGAGGAGGGAGAGAGAGAGAGTGTTCTGTCAGCGAAAGACGGAAGTGGATAACTACGATTACAAGTCAGTCCTCGATTTATGAAATATTTTCTAATTTTATAATGTTTTTGCAATTTTATCAATAAAACAACCATTGACTATTGACTCATTAATATAATTACTTAATTACTGTTTCTTATTGCAAATAACGTAAATTTTGTTCCTTTGCATGTGCCCAACAAATTATTATATTTTGTTCTAATATATTATTATAATTTGAGTATTACACGGCTCGCTTAAAAATCAAATTGATCTTGGAAAAATAAAATTAATATCATTAGGACATGGATTTTATCATATAATACACATAATGCATGTGAATCATTATATAAATAAAGAGAAATATTGATAATTCAACCATAAAATAATATTTTTGCTTTACAATCAAATGACATTTTCAAATTACTTTTATAAGTTGACATTAAGATTAATCTACTAAAAACATCAACAAAAAAACTAATGTAAAACGAATTACTCTCTGCAATGGTATTTTTGAAAAATTATTTATTCAAACTCATTAATATTATTAGCAAAGGCTGATGTGTCATGTTTCTTTTCACTATGCAATGATGTTTTTATAGTTTTTAAATATTTAAATTTTCATGATATTATACTTTAAGTTTTCTTTTTTAAACATTATTTTTTAGTCCATAAATACTTTTTTACTTAATTTTAGTCCCTTTTATATTTTATTTTAGTTACTTTGATCTTTGTTTCTCTAATTTGTTTAATTACAAATGTTAAGGCAAAAAAAAAAATTAAGAAAAAATAATTTACAAAATAAATTTTTAGTTAAGAATTCATTGATTTTGATATTTTTTTTTTACTATTATAAATTTTTAGTTTGTGGATAGACATAAATAAATAATATTTTTAACTAAAAATTTATGAAAAATATAAAAAATAATCAATTAAATATAAAATTTTGATTAAAAAATTATAAAATTGAATGAATTTTTATTTAATTTTGATTTGATATAATTTAATGTTTGCACAATAAAACACAAAACATCAAATTAAAATAATTTTTTAAAAAATAATTTTATGCATTTTGGCTGATCCATAGTATAACACGATTAAAAAAACTAGTATCATCTATATCATAATTAAACCATATATGATAATTTTATTTAATAGATCAATAGATAAAATATATATGAATTAGATTTTGACACCAAAATTACATATACCTCCTCCATTCACAAACTCATTATTTTTCTCATGGTAAGGTAGGTAGTTCATTAGTAAAATTACAAGTCTTATGATTTTAAGTTCCTACCATAATCAGGTGACTAAGTTACAACTAATCCAAAATTTTCTTGCAACCTTAGTGCAATTAAGGTGGTATCCCGAGGAGATGGCAATATGTCGGGAGAAGAGTTGACAAATGATGTCGTTTTTTGTCAAAAAGGAGTAACAAGATAGTTAATGTAACATGAGACACAGAAGATTTTCTCCTTCTATAATTGTGGAAACTTGTAGAAAGAATTGGTAGATTTCGTAGAAGTAACACCTACGTATTTTCTCAACCATTTTTTGTGGCTTTCGTTTTGTTTTGACACAACAAGTTCTAAAGAAAATAGTAATCGACTCGATTTCTTGGGTAATGAAATCAACTTTCTTTCGTTGACTAATTAAGTTTCTTGAGAACCTATTGTTGAGCTTCTTAACACTAAATTTTTGGGAGGAATGACAAATATTATCTCCAATCAATTAAGTCCCCCATCAAAATGTTTTTTTCAATCAAATCCATCATTGATTAGATGTTACCCGATTCAGTCCCCATTCAACTAACGTAGGCTTGAATTTAGCTGGAATCTTTGGTAATTTGGTCACGGTTAATTAGATGAGGAGCTTATGGAAACAAATCGTTTTATCGAGAATAGTTGGGGGTATAGTTTTTATTTCCCAATTATTTTTGTTGGTTAAATGATATATATTGCTCCCTTTTAGATGGTACATTTTGTAAAAATCATTAATTGTTATGTTACATCAATATTTTTGTTTATATGTTTCTAAAATAATATTTTTGTTAAAATCATTGGTTATAAAATTTAATCAGTATTATATGGAACCAATATTTAACGAGAAAATCTATCCAAAATTAAAATAATAAATAAATAAATATTAATTTAATTAACGATAAAGTTTAAAACAATACATTAATAAAAATATTTTACTCCTAAAATTTTGACATGCAGTAAAATCTTTAAAAGAATATTAAAATCTCTAAAAAAATAATATTTTTCATGTAACTAAAAAAATTTCTTTAGAAATGTTATGCCAAAGGTATTTGTATTCATAAAGAGAAAGTATAAAAAAATATTAATTTTTTAATGAAATAGAAAATAGAAGAAAGAATTGATTTTTTTCATTAATTGACAATATTGTAGGAAAATATACTATCTAAAATTTCAATCAAACAAATATTTTGAAATAAATATAAATAAAAAGAAAATAATGTCTTTGAAACAAAGAGAGTATATAAAAATAACTTGTATGTATAGAGATTGATTTTATTGTCTGGTTAAAAACTAAAGATATAATGGTCAATGAGAAGTAACTTGATTGATCAATATTTTTAATTTATATGCCTACTATCTTTAAAAAAACCCCTCGATTTCTAACCTTTATTTTGTAAAAATGAAATAATGTCCATACATTGAATATAGGAATTTGTCATACAATACACTTTAATTGTAAGAAATGAATATAAACATGGTGTTATTGTGAATTTTATACTTCAATTCTTACTATTTCTTTTTCTCTTTTTTGTTATGACAACTCAAATGTTACTATTCTTTTGTTCAAATGGTAAATGTTTTGCTCAAAAAAGTTAATGCAAAAAATAAACGTAACTATGAACAAGACTATATATCAAAATCCCATTTATATTACATTCTCTAGTAGGTTGATAATCCATAATCCATCCCCGTTCCCTCTCTCCACCGCCTCCTCCTCCTCCGTACATAAACACTATCTTGTCGCCAATCTAGCCAAACCTCCAGGATGTGGATTCCATCTGTGATTTCTGGTTGCAACAATGGACCTAACTCCCTTTTGATAAAGGTACTTCTCTCTCTCTTTTTTGTGTGCTCACGTTTTGCAAGCTAGCTTGAGGTTGTTAAAAAATGAGAATGTTACGTTTGAAGGGAAAGGAAAAGCAAGGAGAAATAAGCCAAAACGCAGTTGTATTGAAGCAAAAGGAAATGAAGTTTGTTAAGAGTTTGGCTCCACCTCTAATGGCTGCCCTTGTAGCCTTATCTCCCATAGGCAACACCCCAGGTAAAAGACAACCACACAATGGATATCTTCTTATCTACTACTATAGTTTTAGCTAGTTTCGTGTACTCAATCAAAATGCCCTTCCTTCTCTCTTATAATTCCTAAATGCCACTGACAGTGCTAATATTATTACCTAAAATATTGTAATTATTATGCATTGCTTTTCACCATAGAAAAATGAAGACTTGCAAGTAAGTCATAGCCCAACATTACAGCAAAATTGAATTTCAATGACAATTCCAAAATGCCATTAACAGCATCATCACCCAAGTGTTGTAATTCCATCATTCATTGCCTTTTATGGTTTCGATACGGTTCAGTATTTTAATTGCGTATTTTATTTATAGCTATTCGAGTTGCGGTAAAATAAGATTTGGAAGATAATTTGGTTTATTTCATCCTTAAATTATTGTTTTTTGGATAAATTATGTCATTTCGTTTGATTAGATCGTGAAGATTGACGGTCAAATTTTGACTGTTAACTGAAAAACATAATATGATGTTATTTTGATTTTTTATTTTTTTTAACACAAAATAATCATATGCATAAAGGTTTTAATAATTTTTTTTTCAAAATTAGTTTTATGTCTGTTTTTTTTTTAAAAAAAAATCGTTGGTGGTATTAAGTTTTTCAGTTAGCATGAAAGTTTTACTATCAATATTATGTAATTTCGTTTGATTAGATCGGTAAGATTGATGGTCAAATTTTAATTGTTAACTGAAAAACATAATACGATGTTATTTTGATTTTTGATTTTTTAGTTTTACACAAAATAGTCATATGCATAGAGGTTTTAATAATTTTTTTTTTCAAAATTAGTTTTATGTCTGTTTTTTTTAAAAAAAAAAAATCGTTGGTGGTATTAAGTTTTTTCAGTTAGCATGAAAGTTTTACTGTCAATATTAACCGATGGAAAGACATAATTTACCTGAAAAGATCAAATTGATTGTTATAAATTTATTTTTTCGCAATCCCACTTTAAAGATAAAATATGTCATCCGCTTCATTATACAACAATGAAGACTTAAAGCGAGATAGTCTCGACCGAAAGCCGAAGCATTACAACAAAAGTGAATTTTAACGAGAACTTTATGAAACTTACAGCAGGAAAATCTCATTGTTCTTCATCTTTTTTCTTTTTTATCCCAGAAAAATCCCATTCAAAATATATATTTAAAGAAATTCCATTAAAAAAAATCATTTTTGTTTTCGTTCAATGGCATGCCTCCCGTAGAGAAATGCATGTCTTTCTGGGCTATTGACATGTTATTTGGGCTAGGGTGGTTTGTGCAAGACATGGGCTTTCATGGCCTAATTGCCACCTTCTGTATATACGTATAAATTTAAATAGGAAAAATTATGATTCTCAAAAAGAAAATGAAAAAAAAATATATATAGAGGTTTGTTGAACCCAAAAAAAAAAAAAAAAAAGGTAGATACCTTGTCTAACAATATTTAATTTGATAATTAGCTTAAGGGTTTTTGTTTCCTGGTTTGGTTCACCTTGTTTTTGTTTATGCAGTGTCACTAGGACAAACCCTAGATATACAAAAAGGTGCCAAGTTGTTTAACCGTGCTTGTATTGGGTGTCATGATGCCGGTGGAAACATAATTCAACCTGTGAGGCTTTTGTAGCTCATGGAATTCAGATCATCATCATCATCTCTCAATTTCTTTTTCCGATTTCTTCTTAATTAATTCTCATTTGTTTCATATTCGTATCATTTCAGGGTGCAACACTCTTCACGAAGGACCTCGAAAGGTAGTTAAATTAGATAGACGATCACTAATGTTAATTTATTAAGTATATACAAACTTAATTTCTAACTTTTGATAAAATTTTATTGTATAATTTAAGTCGGCTCAAAGAGTCTAACCGCTTCTGAACTTTAAGTTATTTTAGATTGAGTTTTTTAATTTTTAAATTAATTTTTAAGGAGTTCTAAAATTTTAAGTTTTTGAATTTAATCTATCCAATGATTTTCAGCCATCGTCTTTTGTAAAAAATTCAATTCTTGATATTTTGAGTTGAAATTTTATACACACATTGAAAAAATTCAATCGATTTTGTCAAAAAAATTTCAGAATTTTACAAAGTCGAAAACTATATATTTTTTATTTTTTGATAAAAATCAGAAAAAAAATTCTGAAATGATTTTAATTTTTTTTTTAGGAGCTTCACATAAATCTCACTGATTTCTATTGTAAAACTATTTATGTGATTGTTATTTTTTTTAGATAAATGACAAAAACCTAAAGGATAAGATAAATTTGAAAAAAAAAATCAAAAGTTTAAGGATTTTCAAAACCAATAAAAAAATTCAGAGACTCAATCTCAAATAATTTAAAGTTCAAAATGATTACATACTTTTAACCATTTAAGTTTGCATACTAAATTTCTGTTTTTTAGAGTTGAAAAATGATTTTATCTAGAGAAGTAGAAATAAATCGAATGATGTATGGTACATGCAGAAATGGAGCAGACACTGAAGAAGAAATATATCGCATAACATATTTTGGCAAGGGAAGAATGCCGGTAAGTTTTCCATTAAAATCAAAATTTCTGCCTCCATGTTTTTTTCTTTCTTGATTTTGGTTAAGGAGATAATAGATTTTGTGATCCTATAGGGATTTGGTGAGAATTGTACTCCAAGAGGACAGTGCACATTTGGACCACGTTTGCAGGATGAAGAGATTAAGCTCTTAGCTCAATTTGTAAAGTCACAGGCAGATCAAGGCTGGCCAACCATAGAAATTAGTCAAGATTGATTCTTATCATTAAAAAAAAAAAAAAAGTGTGTGCCCAAATGTCTGGACTATATATATACATGGCACTTTAATCAAAAGCTAGTTATTTCATCCATATTTCATTATGGATCAAATCCATTGAGGTTGCATTTGTTTTGTGTAAAACATTTTACCGATATAAAGTATGTAAAAATGAAAAAAAGTTATACTCTATTTGATAAATAATGGTTTGAAAAATATAATAGTATTATAATAATAATGTTGTTTTGTTGTAGTGGGGTGCTCCTGGTGATAAGAGTGGCAGTGAGAATGATAGTTGCAGAATAACGGTGTGGTTGAGGTGGAGGCAACAACAACAATAGTAGTGGCGGGGGTGATGATTATAAAGTTACGACGGTAGTTGAAATAATTGAATGATATATAATTGGATTATTTTTCGTCAAATATGCTCTAGAACTTGATAAATTGAAAATATTTTTTCAACAAATGAGTTATAAGTTTAAAATTTGATAGTAAAATATTTTCTACTCATAAAATTTTCTGTAAAATATTTTATGGCAAACAAACACACAGAAAATTATCAAAAAAATAAAAAATAAAAAAAAATTATGAAGAAGAAGAAGAATGCCTCCTCAGTGACAAATTGATAGTTTTCAATCCCTAAAATAACTTCTTTGTTTTTTTTTTTCCCTCGCAATAATATGATCTGCCGTTTGTGAAACAATACAATCGAATTAATGGAACATAGTCTGACTTGAATAATGATTTTTGGAACGCAACGAAAAGATGAACTCTTGCTATAATCAAATGACTAATTAATTATATATATATAAACTCCATACTAACTTTTTTTTAGAGTAAATTATAAATTATTTCTTTTAGTTTTTAGAAATAAATAAATTAGTTTTTAAAATTAATTATTTAGTTCTTTAATCAATATTGACCATACTTAATTTAATGTTACTTTATTTCAAAAAAAATGTCATCTTCTTTCATCAATCCTTCCATATTTTTAACTTTTTTTTCTTTACTAAAATAAATTAAAAAAATGAAAATGATTAATATATATATATATAATTAGTTTTTGAAATAAGAAAGAATAATTAATCTATTTCTGAAAATTAAAAGAACTAATTTATAATTAACTCTACTTTTTTATTGTGAATTCTCAGCCATTGACTCTTTGATCAAACATAAGGGGAAAAAAAATTGTTGGGCGTAGGAATTTGATCAATTTTACATTGACCTCTTCAAAATATTAGGAGCTCTAACAATTTTATTTACTTTTTTTAGTGCCTTTCGAAATGAGGTACTTAGAGAACAAGTGTAAGAAAAATAGAAATATTAGATAGCATACTACTTCTCTTTTAAAGCGACTATTATATCTGACTTTTCATTTAGATTAAAAATATTATTAATTAATATGTTATTTTACTTTTTTTAATTTATATTTTCTAAAACACCCTTTCCAAATTCTATCTCTTTTATAACTGTGCTCAGCTTAGAAATAGAAAACACATGTTTTGACACGGACAAAAATAGAAAGTCAGATGCCAAAGACTATTTTAATTACTGCTACTTATATTATTTAAAATTTTAGTATTATTTTTAAATCATGATAAAAATGGTCAGAACTTAACTATTTATTATTTGAATTTAAAGTAATGATGAAAAATAATCATAATGTGTTAGTCTCGTTACTTAATAAGTATTGATTTATAAATTATGTCTAAAATTTAATTCTTATAATCAGTATTTATGAAAATTTATTTTCACAGTACCTCATATCATAAGTTAAAAAATACAATTTTGAGTTGCTTAAAATTTGACTACAGATATCTTAAAATAATGATGATGATAACGATGATGAAAAAGGAACATGACTGGTCAAAGATTCAAATCCAATTTTTTATATATGAATATACATGACCCCATTAATCAATTATTAAGACAACCATTAATCAATTATTTATTATCCATCAAACCAATCTTCAGAACTGGCGTCACTTCTTTTGCTTCATTTTTCATATCCTCCCCATTGTCATTTTTGTGCGCTATCCTTCTCGTACGTACCGAAGCAACATCTTCCGACGGAAAAGTAAAGCAAGGGGTAATTGACAATACATGCAGGCAGCCACAGGACCCCAATTCTTGCCAAAAAAATTCTAGCCACCGACCCAAGTGTTTCTGCAGCTGCCATGGATGGCTTGGCCCTAATATGTATTTCATCCAGCCATTATTCAATTACAAAGCACTTTGGAAAACATGTCTGGCAATTTTGGTAGAGTCAATGATCCCATTGGTAAGCAACCACGTAGAGTTAGCCGGTCTGATTATTCAGGATGTCCTAGGAAAGTTTCAAGTTGCATGCAAATTAGCAATTGCCAAGGCTTATGATGAGATCAATTTCGGTTAGAGATGGAACCAACAAAGTTCTAGATTGTGAGGATATTTACAAGCGGAGAGCACCTATTGGAGTTTCACCTATAACAATTGCTAATCACAATGTGATTAAATTATCAGAAATTATTTTGATAATTGTTGATAGCCTTCTTCCTTATTAGGGTTGTTGAACTAAAGGGTGGAAATTTTTTTTTACTTATTTATACATATACACCTCACTTTCGCTTTTTTATTTATTTTTCGTTTACTTGCTCACCTCACTTTCATGGACACATTTATTCACAACACTCGTAATACTTGGTCACACTTAATTTTTTTAAGACCCTCTCAATTACTAGACACACAAGCTACAATTCTAACTAAGTTGATTGTTACAATTCTAATTAAGTTGGTCCTCACAACTCTTGACAATTATAGTTAAAATATCACTTCATGCTTATTCATTTATTTTTCTTCTTCTTATACATTTCTAGAAAGCTCAAAATTATCTAGAAACAAATGAGGCAGTGATGACTTCTTCAAGGTTATATAATATTTTTTTGGAGCATGATAAAGTAACACAGGTATGTAATAATACATTCTAATCGGATATTGCGAAGTCAATTGCCGGATCGGACGAGACCGTATGTGATATGCATGGAATTAATTATAGATAATTGTGTTTGAGATCTTTTAGGAGTTTTGTTGTAACAAGTGTTGTAAAAATAGAAGTCCCTCCTATATAAGAGTCCATGTTGAATAGGAATCCTCGTGTGTTGTATATATAAACACACACCCGTGTTGATCAATAACGGACGAACGAGCATTTTCATGCAAACCAAGTTCCTTTATGGTATCGGAGCTTCTAGGTTCGATTGAGAACGATTGGTGAGGGCATATAAAATGGTTGTTTATGAAAAAGAGGCTCGTAAAGAGGAGGCTTGTGAAGAAAAGTCCCTTGAACGAGAAAACTTTAAGATGGTGAAGAAAACACCATATCCATATAATTTGAACTCGAATGACAACCCAAAATCTGATTACCCAAGTGCGGCTTCGAGAGGAGAACTACGAAGAATGAGTACGTGCCATGAGAATGTCTCTACGTGCTCAAAGAAAATAGGGCTTTCTAGATGGAACCATTGGAGCACCGAAGGAAGACTCGTATGAGATGGAAGAGCGGTGGACGGTGCGGTCCATGTTGGTGTCTTGGATTCTAAATACCATTAAACCCGGCTTGCGTTCCATTATATCTTATGTGGCAAACGTTAGAAACCTATGGGAGGATATCAAAGAACGATTTTCAATCATCAATGACCCGAGGATTCATCGGCTAAAATCGAGTTAGTAGATTGTAAACAAGGGGTCCGACGATGGTTGCTTATTACGATAAATTGAAAACTTTGTGGGATGAGTTGGCAAACTATGAGCAAATACCAACCTACGGGTATGGATGTTGCACTTGTGATATCACGTCTAAACTGGAACGACGAAGAGAAGAGGAGAAAGTGCACCGGTTTCTTAGAGGTCTTGATGATGTCATCTATGGGACGGTGCGTTCTAACTCGTTAGCAAGTGATCCACCGCCTTCTTTGAACCGTGTTTACTCCGTCATGGTGCGGGAAGAGCGAGTACGAGAGAGAAGGAGGAACATGGTAAAATAATGGGTCTTGCGAGTACAAGCCAAAAGTCGAGGACATAGGGTAGCTAAAGAGAAAGCATAAATCCGTATCCATTGTAACAAAGTTGGACACGATGTAGAAAAGCTGTTTCCGGTTGATTGGCTACCCAGATTGGTGGGGAGACAAGGCGAAAGGTGAAGGAAAAACCGAGTGCAAAAGGAAAGCCGCAGCAATGCATGGTTGCGAGAGAAAGGAAGAACAGGAAATGTCCATGCCAATGCTCTGCGCGGTAGGCGTAAATGAAGGTACTTCCACGTCTATAATCGATGCCGATAGAAGTGGGCTTGCGGGCCTAACTATGGATCTATGGCAACGACTGCTAGAGATGTTGAATAAAATAGATATTAGTGAAAAGATGATGGTAAATTCTCATGAATAATCAACACCGGAGCATCGAACCACATGATGGGGAATCTAGAAGAATTGAGTGAGATGCATGACATTGCACTATGTCCAGTTGGCCTACCGGATGGTGTATGAACATATGCTAACAAGGAGGGGATAGTGTTCCTAGATGGGGGTTTAAAGCTTACAAATGTTCTTTATGTCCCTTATTTGAGTTGCAACTTGATATCTCGTGTGGATGAATTAAATTGCATCATATAATTCACCGATAAACCGTGTTATACAGGACCACACTTTGAGGATACCGATTGGTAAGGGTAAATGTGAAGATGGGCTCTATTATTTTTGTGGCAAACGTGATGAGAAGGTGTGCAAAACGGAAGGAATAAATCGAGTGGCACTATGACACATGCGTTTGAGACATCTGTCTTTTAAGATCACACAATCGGTTCTCGATATTGTAAGAATAAGTGTAAGGATTTATCAAACAAAAACTATGATATTTTTTTAGAGCAAAACAATCAAGGGAAAAATTTCCGTAAGTGAAATCTATTCCAAAAGTATTTTTGAATTAATCCATTGTGATTAATTGGGTCCATATAAAACTCCTTCTTCTTATGGTGCTTACTATTTCATGACCATAGTAGATGATTATTCTTCGTTGTGTTTGGATTTACTTGCTTGGTGATAAGAATGCTTATGAATTTTTTTGCTTTGGTTAAAAGGCAATTTGATTAGCAAGTTAAAATTTTTAGAAGTGAAAATGGGGCTGAATTTATTTGCATGAAAAATTATTACTTGGAGCAATGTATTTTATTTCAAACCTTTTGTCTTGGAACGTCACAATAAAATGGAAGAGTCGAAAGAAAACACGGACATATTTTGAATGTTGCCCGAGCTCTTAGGTTTCAAGCAAACCTTTCTATTGATTTTTGGAGAGAACGTGTATTAACAACGGGATACCCGATAAATAGGACACCTTCTAATATCCTCGGTGAAAAAACACCTTATGAGATGTTACATGGTCAAACCTCTTCCCTTAAACACTTGAGAGTGTTCGGATGCTTGTGTTTTGCTCGTAACCAAAAAAGGAAATGAGATAAATTTGTAAGTAGGAGTAGGAAATGTATTTTTGTTGGGTATCCTCATGGAAAAAAGGATGGAAATTGTTTGATTTAGAGACTAAAGAGTACATTGTGTCTAGGGATGTGGTATTTATTGAAACCGACTATCCTTTTAACAAGTCAAACACTAATGAACATGTAGCAAGTTCATCATGCAATACTCGAGGAATTATCATGGTTCCGGACTATATAGATGAGGATAATCATGGGCTGATTAGTGTTGGTGTCAAAGAGGGCTCTAGTCATGAGTTGAATAATATAGATGACGAGGGTGCTTGAAACAATAAATAAAGCATTAAGAGAGCATGTTTCATCACTAGAGATCACATTGGGTGACACATAAAGAGAATCTAGTGCAACCCCCGAGCGAGGAATGAATGGCACGTGAGTGCAGAGCCAAATTGCTTTTCTTTTGCCTCCGAGACTACATCACCAACGTAATTAAGATATTGAGCCCATCCGAGCGGTTGCCTCCATCTTCTCCATCCTCGATTGCGTCCTATCCTATTACTCACTATGTGAATAGTCATAATTTTTCTTTAGGATATTGTGTTTTTCTTGCCTCACTTGAACAAGAATGGGAGCCTATGACATATAATGAAGCGGTGAAAGATCATAGGTGGCACGAGGCTATGTGAGCCGAAGAAAGTGCTCTTGAAAATAACCAAACCCGGACTATTATGCCTTTACCACCTAAAAAGAAAGCCCTTGGATGTAACTAGGTATACAAAATTAAACAAAAATGCGATGGCACGAGTAGAAAGGTTCAAGGCTTAGCTTGTTATACTTGGCAATCATCAAGTGGAAGGTATTGACTACACGGAGACTTTTGCTCCGAGTAGCAAAGATGGTGACGATGCGAGTGGTACTAACAATAGCTGCTGTAAAGAATTAGGAGCTACAGACAAATTGATGTCCACAATGCCTTATTGCATGGGGATTTATAGGAAGAAGTTTTTATGAAGCCCTTACTCGGCTTTAATGTTTCACAGACCTCGGATGGTGCATAAACTTAAAAAGTCACTATACGGACTCAAGCAAGCTCCCGGATGTTAGTTTACAAAATTGTCCCTTGCTCTTAGGATGTATGGATTCAAACAATCCTTATCCGATTATTCCTTGTTCTTACTACGAAACCAAGGGTATATATTATCGTTCGTGTATGTGGATGATCTTTTTGTAGTTGGAAATAATCGAGCCGTTATTAGACGGTTCAAGGCTTATATGCATGCATGTTTTCATATGAAGGACTTGGGCACACTCAAATATTTACTTGGTGTTGAAGTTGCTCAATCTCCCTCGGGATTTTTCTATGTCAAAGAAAATATGCCTTGGATATTATTCAAGAAACTAGCTTGCTTGGGGCTAAAATTGCACATACACCCCTTGGAACAAAACCACCGTTTGGCTCTCGTTGATGGACAACTTCTTCCTAATCCCGAACGGTATAGACGTTTGATTGGGAGGCTAATTTATTTATGCTTTACTAGACCTAAGTTGTCTTATGGCGTACATACATTGTCTTAGTTCATGCAACACCCCAAGCAAGAACATGCAACACCTCAAACAAGAACATTGGGATGTTGCTTTAAGAATAGTGAGGTATTTGAAGGGAAACCCCGGACAAGGTATCATGTTGCGAAAAGATAGCGACTTGAATCTCTAAGGGT